AGTACAGGCTATAGTTGACAACAATGTCTCATCTATAGCCCAGATGGCATTCGCAGTCACTCCGCCAGGAACATCACCAACAGAACAACAGGTACGTGACTTCTACCAAGACAGGATCGCCATCAACATGGGAACGATCACGTCCACAAAGTTGTTGATTTTCGAATCCCACACGTTGGTGGTAGCCAACATCAAAACTGAAGTTGGACGGAAAGACGATGTCAGCACCCACTGCATTCTGCCAACCGCTGAGAGAGACCGACGTATCCAAGACCAACAGAGGCGTTTGACAGGACTCCGCTTCAAGGGAGACGAAGAAGTTGCCTTTTCAGCCTATGACTTAGTCTTTACCATGCTTGAGAAAGACACGCTCACCTATTTGCACCCAGAGAAGTTCGTTACACGTCGTTTTGAGTTGTCACAAAAGAAGCCCCCAAAACACTTGGCACTTGACAACGAATCTCTCACAGTGAAAGAGCATCCAGTTGACCACACTTGCGCAACTCGCACAGAGCTGGAGTTGGTTCAAGCTTTCCGCCGGAGAGCCTTGGCCTTCGACTTGGACCATGCAGAGCTCTTGAGCCATCTCCAAGAGGATGCCCCACCTGGATACTCTAACACAACCGTGGTGCAAGTCCTGCGAGCTGACCGAGCTGTGTTTCTCCATTTGGCAGAAATGATCACAAGTTTGAAACGCACTCCCAACGGCGATTTGCCCCTCGAGGTTGAGCTGCCCAAAGCCCTTGTACGACCTAGTGTCAGTTTTCATTTGCTGCCACTGGCCACGCACACGCCAAAGGCGGCGCCAACTCCCAAGGGAAACCCAAACAAAAGAAAGCATGAGGAAACCAAGCCAACGCCTAAGGGCACACCTGGAGCTCATGGCCAACCCTCCCGCAAGGGCAAAGGGAAGGGCAAGACCAAAAACAAAAGAGGCCGAGGTCCTAATGTCCCAAAGGACCTCGTGGGCAAGAGCCTGGAAACAACAGATGGCCGCCGAATTTGCTGGCCATTCAATTTGCCATCAGGATGTACAGATGCACCCCCTGGTGGACAGTGCACCAGAGGAGTTCATGTTTGCGCCGAGCCCAGCTGTGGGAAACCCCATAGCATGCAGCACCATTCTTGACTACCTCAGATGGCACCAGAAGCATTTGCCGCTTTCGAAGCAAAGTTGTCAGCCAAATGTGCCAACAAGAATGCCCTTCAGCTGTTTGCAGTTGAAGTTTTTGCCGGTACCGGAAGACTCACCGCCTCTCTGCGGCAACTTGGTTTACGCGACGCGTTTGGCATCGACCATATTTTGTCAGACCAGTTAGCTGCACCAATTTTGCAATTAGATCTTTTACAACCAGAATGCCTTGCCTTTTTAGAGCAAATCATTCAGGAAACAGCATGCATTTATGTCCACTTTGCACCACCTTGCGGTACAGCAAGCAGAGCAAGGTTTATCAAACGTAAAGGCAGATACAACCCCCCGGTTCTCCGGACAGATGCTTTCCCTAACGGGCTGACCAATTTGAGCACCACTCATGCAGCAAAAGTGGCAGCCGCCAACAAACTCTATGAAATTACTCAGAACCTGTGCCGCCTATGCCATGACCACGGAGTGCTATATTCAGTGGAGAACCCAGCACGAAGTTTCATGTGGAACACAACCCACTTTGCAGCCTTTCTCAGAGAAGTGCCCCATTTCCGCACACATTTTCATCACTGCATGTATGGCTCCGCCAGACGTAAATACACATGTCTGGTCCATAACATCACTTCTGTCAAGTGCATGGAGCTTTTGTGCGACAACCAGCACTCACATGAACCCTGGGGGCATACAGAAAACGGATGGGCCACCGCCCAAGAAACCGCATACCCTTGGCCCCTGGCCCGAAAATTAGCCACCATGGTCGCTTTGCACTTGCAGAACCACGGAGTCAATTGCCCGACTCCTACTTTTGCCAAACATGCCAAGGAGCTTGATTCCATTCGCCACCAGATCCAAGCTCAGTACTCCGCCAGAGGCTTGCCGTGGGTCAGTGAATTCTCCCACACCATGCAGATCCCGGCACATCATCCCGTGCCGCCTAATGCCAGACTCCTTACCACTCCCACTTTGGGGGATATCGCGAGGGTAGGGTACAAAACCATTGGGATCCACAGAAGTCCCAAAGAATTTGTAGACCAAGCCATTGCGTCCGGACACCCTGGACAGAATGCGGACGAGTTGCCAAGCGCCATGAAGGAGGCCGTTGCCTTCATCACTGAACAGTCGCCTCAAGCAGTTGCGCAACACAGGTCAGAGATGTTACGCAGAGTGATCGCCAGGTCGTCCCAATTGGCGGGGGAAGAAAAGACCCTCAAGCAGAATATGTCAACCAGGCGCCGGAAAGTTCTTGAAAACAAACGGTTGCTCCTTTTTGGAGAACTCCTTGCCGAGGCGGGATCGCGAGACTCATCACTCATCGCTGACATGTGCAACGGCTTCGACCTTACTGGTAAGCTGCCTGCCTCAAATCATTTCAGCCAGAAGTTTCGGCCTGCGGCATTGCCAACCGCCGCTTTGAGAGGGGTCGCCGATAGGGCACGTGGTGCACTGCTGGCAACAGTCAAGAGCTCCGGTGACCGCCTGGTTGATGAGGGTGTTTTGAATGCAACCTTGAAGGAGAAGGAACTAGGCTTCCTCCAGGGGCCGATTGACGCTTCCACCATCCCAAGTGGGGCCACCTTGACTCGCCGCTTTGGCGTGATGCAGAAAGACAAAGTGAGGCCAATAGATGATTACAAGGCCAGCCTTGTGAACTCGGCCGTCACCCAGGTGGAAGTCGTCACCCTGCACGGGATAGACCACATAGCGTGTTTGGGCGCCGCTTTGATGACTGCGGCTCGAGCGAATGGGCGTTGCATGCAGCTCGTCTCCAAGTGCTGGGACTTGGCAGCTGCCTATAAGCAGATACCATTGTCTGATGACGCCTATGACACAGATTCCTACATAGTGATCTTCAATCCTCGGACAGGAAGCCCGGAAGTGTACAAGCAAGCAGTGCTCCCTTTCGGGTCTATCGCGTCAGTCACTGCCTTTCTCAGGTGCGCACTCGGGATATGGCATGTTGGAAGCAGCCTTCTGAAATTGACATGGACATCTTACTTTGATGACTTTCTGAGCATCACCCCAGCCTGTTTGGACAAGCATACCGAGCTGTGCGTGTCTACATTGTTCCAACTCCTAGGCTGGAAGCTGTCAGCGGACAAGCTTGTGCCGTATTCTCAGTGTTGCAAGGTTTTGGGGGTTGAAGTCGACCTCACCAAGAGCCCATCGGGCATGCTAACAGTCAGGAACACTGAAGCCCGACAGAACGAGCTGATATCCTGCATGAGAGGAATCCTTGAGAAGGAGTTCTACCTCGTGCAGAAGGAGAAAGATTGCGCGGCAGACTGCAATTTGCCTCCAACCACTTGTTTGGGCGACGGTTCCGGAATTGCCTGAAAGAACTGAACACCCACGTCTCTAGAGGCTTCCGCGTGGTGGCCAAGGAGCTCAGGGAATCGTTGGAACTCATGGTAGAACTCCTAACAGAGAATGCCCCCAGGCAAGTTGATGTCAACTTCCTGGATTGGGTACACATCTATGTTGATGCTTCCTTCGATCCCGAGGGGTATTCAGGGGTAGGCGGTTTGATTCTGGACCACGCCGGTCAATGCCTGGGTTGCTTCAGCGAAGAGGTGCCTCCCGAGCTGGTGGCGAAGCTCAAGAAAGATGAGCAGAAAACAGTGATTTTCGAGCTGGAAGGCCTAGCGATTGCGGCGGCCCTGCATACATTTGGTGTTTTTGCTAAAGGCAGGAGAGCTGTCGTTTTTACAGACAACCAGAGTGCTCAGTCCTGCATCATCAAATGCAAGTCCGACAATCGCCATATGAACCTCATAGTTCGTTCAGTATGTACTGCTGAAGAGAAGCTGGGACTAGTTACCTGGGTTGAACGAGTGCCGTCGCAATCCAACCCAGCTGATGAACTTTCAAGAGCGAAAATGTTTGAATATGCAGGGGTGAAAGCTACAGAGGTCAACCTGATGAAATGTTGGATGATGTGCACAGCAGAAGTAAGTGCGAAGTCGTCTCAGGTGACTGGGGGAGAGACGCGAGACGACATTTGAACCAAAGTGCAATTCCCCGCGGTCAAAACAGAGTGATGTGCGCAATGCTTCGTGTTGTTGCGTCTACATGTTCACCCAACATCACTCAACCCAAAAATAAGATGTAACTCAACCTGCTGATGAAATTTTATTTTTGACAAAGGGATGTTGAATTTCCTTTCATTAGAAAGGAAAGTGGACATGGAGATGCACAGCTTGAAACACATCACGAGTTTTGTGCCAATAACAAGTGGCTCAAGTGAGCCCTAATTTCATCCAACGAATTTTCGTCCCACCTCTTTCACTACGTTCTTTTCCCACCCCAAGTCACCCCAATCAAGTGATTGGCTTCAGCGGGACACGTGTCCCTCCATCCATTTACCTCGTTTTGAATCATTCATGGGTCGCCATGCCAACGTCTTCATTACAACAAATTTTGGCGCCATTGATTCTTACTGAATGCTTGCAAGTGCGTTTACAAGATCAAGTTACGAACTTGACATCCATTTTGGACGATACGCCAAGTGGCCATCGACCAGTCAGGCTTGCCATCATTGACAGTTTAGTTCATCTCGAAGCTGCCATTCATCAACTGCAATTTACCAAATTGGTTTTGAACTTATCCATCCAGCAGCAGTTGCAACACCATCTTCGAGCACATCAATGTTTGCCAGCCATTGAAAACGTCGATGACCCCTCCAATTCCGAACCTTGAGCCTAACCTCTCCGTCCGAGACGCGAGACGACATTTGAACCAAAGTGCAATTCCCCGCGGTCAAAACAGAGTGATGTGCGCAATGCTTCGTGTTGTTGCGTCTACATGTTCACCCAACATCACTCAACCCAAAAATAAATGTTCCGTATGATCTGGCCAGGTGCAAGATGTTCAGACAGACTCAAAAGCCTCAAAGGATGGCAGGGAGTTTGACGATGATGATGACCCACCGCAGGCTGTGGAGGGCCTGTCGTTTGCTGGAGTCTAAGTCTAATTTCTGGGTGAGATACTGAAAATCAGATATGGAGATGGGTCAAAATTTCCTTATTTAGGGGAATAAACATCCTTCAACCAGCTATTTTAGGGTACCTGGGGTCCCAGGATTTTGACTCATAGCCATATAGGCATCATATAGGTTTGTCAGGAGAAAGTGCCAGTGCCTGTACCCTTTGAAAGGAATTTGTGCTCCAGGCCTTGTTCAACTGAGTTTCTCTGTGGCTCCAGCTGCTTCACCCAAGTTTTCTAGTTGACATGCTGCTTTCAGTCTTGTCCGTCAGGATTGTGAGTACGCAGCTGCAACCTCAGCTCTCTCAGGAAATGGATGCAATACACTTTGGTTTGTACAGTGTATTTTGTCGAGCTTCGCACACCGGCGATGTCATAAGGGTTCCTGATCCCTGCCGGTTAGCTGTTGCTGTTGTTGCTGCTGCTGCTGTTATTGCTGTTGTTCATGATGAAAAAAGGGCTGCCGCCCCCTGGTGCCGCCCCAGAGAGTTAGGCTAAACCCCCATGTGCTCCTGAAGGACGAAGTGCCGCTGCCCGCAGAAGCTGGCAGTGCCTAACGTTGCTTTCTCGAGCCCCAAAAAGAACCAGAACGGCCATCACGCGGGAGTGATTTTTCCACTATCACCTTACCAAAACCTACATATCGTCATTTGCATTTGCAACAGTACATTGAAGATATACAAAGGTGTAGGCGTGCATAGGGACGTATACGAGCACATCCAGCACTCTGAATAAGAAGGATGGGGATGGTGGGAATGTTGCAACTCAAGCAGTAGGCACATGTCTTGTTTGTCATTGTTATCTTGCAGACCCTTGTCAGCAGGCTCACTTCAATAGTTCGAGAGAGAGAGAGAGAGCGAGAGGCAGAGAAGTGTGTTATGCTGCTGACTATGAAGTTCAATTCACCAACTATGGCACGCATCCAAACATACATGATCTATCCTGCACTCAAGGGGCAGTTGCCGTTACTATTTATTATCAAACATGACTCTGTCAATAGATTCAATAGATAAAGTAATTGATTCTGATCATTGAAGAAGCCGGACGCATTTACTGTTTTTCATCCTATATCTTATTTTGCGGAGCCTTGTTGACAGATTCATCATGAAAAGCAAAGAGAAATAGTGAACTATTCATTGCGTAGCGAAGGGTTCTTGTTTTCTTTCTTGGGGGTGTGGGGGTGGTGGACTGTTTGCTCATCGTTTTGTTTTTTTCTCTAATCACGTCGTCGCACTGTCTATGGGGAAAGTGAGAAAAGAAGATGTGTCGTGACGTGTGAAAGTACATTTCGCGTGGCAGGCGTGGGTCTTTGTGGCACTCAGGCGAAAGTAATTTAGGGGGTCTAATCGCGTCGTCACCGCTGTCTATGGAGAAAGTGAGACAAGGTGATGTGTTGTGACGTGTGAAAGTACATTTCGCGTGAAACGCGTGGGACTTTGTGGCACTCAGGCGAAAGTTGTTTTTTGGGGTCTCTAATGGCGTTGTCGCCGCTGTCTATAGGGGACGTGAGAAAAGGTGATGTGTTGTGACGTGTGAAAGGGCATTTCGCGTGTCAAGTGTGAAGTGTGGAGTGTGAAGAGTGGTGTGTCAAGTGTGGAGTGTGGAGTGGAGAGTGTGAAGTGTGAAGTGTGAAGTGTGAAGTGTGAAGTGTGAAGTGGAGAGTGTGCAGTGTGAAGTGTGAAGTGTGAAGTGTGCAGAGTCAGACGTGCAGTGTGAAGTGTGGAGTGTGAAGTGTGAAGTGAAGTGAAGTGTGGCGTGTGGAGTGTGAAGTGTGAAGTGCAGAGTGTGGAGTGGAGAGTGTGAAGTGTGAAGAATAGGGTGTGGACTGTGGAGTGTGAAGTGTGGAGTGTGAAGTGTGAAGTGTGTGGTGCGCGTGGAGTGTGTGGAGTGTGAAGTGCAGAGTGTGAAGTGTGGAGTGTGAATTGTGAAGTGTGCAGTGCCAGATGTGCAGTGTGAAGTGTGGAGTGTGAAGTGTGAAGTGTGGAGTGTGGAGTGTTAAGTGTGAAGTGTGAAGTGCAGAGTGTGGAGTGTGGAGTGTGAAGCGTGGAGTGTGAAGTGTGGAGTGTGAAGTGTGAAGTGTGGAGTGTGCAGTGTGCGGTGGAAAGCGGTGAAGTGTGAAGTGTGCAGTGTGAAGTGTGGAGTGTGAAGTGTGAAGGGTGAAGTGTGGAGTGTAAAGTGTGGAGTGGAGAGTGTGAAGTGTGAAGTGTGGAGTCTGAAGTGGGAAGTTTGAAGTGTGCAGTGTGCAGTTGGTGTGTGGACTGTGAAGTGTGAAGTGTGGAGCGTGAAGTGAAGTGTGAAGTGTGAAGTGCCATGTGTGCAGTGTGAAGTGTGAAGTGTGGAGTTTGAAGTGAAGTGTGAAGTGTGGAGTGTGAAGTGTGAAGTGTGAAGTTTGGAGTGTGGAGTGGACAGTGTGAAGTGAGAAGTGTGAGGTGTGCAGTGTGGAGTGTGGAGTGTTGAATGTGATGTTTAAGTGTGGAGTGTGGAGTGTGGAGTGTGAAGTGTGGAGTGTGAAGTGTGGAGTGTGCGGTGTGAAGTGTGGAGTGTGAAGTGTGGAGTGTGGAGTGGGGAGTGTGAAGTGTGAAGTCTGAAGTGTGGAGTGTGATGTGGGAAGTGTGAAGTGTGGAGTGTACAGTGTGAAGCGTGGAGTGTGGAGTGTGAAGTGAAGTGTGAAGTGAAGTGTGGAGTGTGAAGTGTGAAGTGTGTGGTTTGTAGTGTCAGGTGTGCAGTGTGAAGTGTGAAGTGTGGAGTTTGAAGTTCGAAGTTCGAAGTTCGAAGTGAAGTGTGAAGTGTGAAGTGTGGAGTATAAAGTGTGGAATGTAAAATGCAAAATGTGATGTGTGAAGTGCAGTTTAGTACTTGGAAGTACTTTGTGCAAGCTTTGTAGTACAAAGTAGTACTGGGAAGAACTTTGTGCAAGCATTGTAGTACAAAGTCGTGTTGGGAGGTACTTTGTGCAAGCTTTGTAGTACAAAGTGGTACTGGGAAGTGCCTTGTGCAAGCTTCGCAGTACAAAGTAATCGAAGGAAGTTTAGAAGTCAAACTTCCGACAATATGGACAGATGAAAAGCAGAGCAGGGCAGAGGCAGAGAGAAGAGAAAGATTAGAAGAGAGAAGAGTAGAAGAGAAAGAGTCAGAAGAAAGAAGATACAGATGCGCGAAAAGGTAGGAAAGTCGCGATTCACTGTGTTTTTCCAATGATTTGTGGCTCCGGAGGGTCGAAAAGTAGGCTCGCTAAAGCGGCGGGTGCGGAGCCAGCTGGCCAGATGAGAGATGAAAAATTGCACGCCGTTGTGGCGCGAAGCACATTTTGAAGTCAAAATGTACAAAACACACCAGGTTCGGACCACTTTTGGAAGTTGAGATGTCGAAAAAGTGCACGCCGTTGTGGCGCGAAGCACATTTTGAAGTCAAACTGTACAAAACACCTCAGCTTCGGACCACTTTTGGAAGTTGCGATGTCGAAAAAGTGCACGCCGTTGTGGCGCGAAGCACATTTCCAAGTCAAAATGTACAAAGCACACCATTGCCTTGCCGGACCACTTTTTGGAAGTTGCGATGTCGAAAAAGTGCACGCCGTTGTGGCGCGAAGCACATTTCCAAGTCAAAATGTACAAAGCACCACATGTTCGCGCCACTTTTGGAGGTTCAGATCTCGAAAAAGTGCACGCCGTTGTGGCGCGAAGCACATTTCGAAGTCAAAATGTACAAAACACTACGGGTTCGGACCACTTTTGGAGGTTCAGATGTCGCTTCGCTTCGCTTCGGGTCATTACACTACACTATACACTCCACTACTACAGTACATTACACTACACTACACTCCACAACACTACAACTACAACTACAGAACTACACTCCACTACACTCCACTACACACCGCTACACTAAATTACACTACACTACATTACACTACACTAGAAAAATCCATAGATAGATAGATACATAGAAAATAGATAGGTAGGTAGGTAGATAGTCAGAGAAAGAGAGAGAAAGAGTGAGAGAGATCAAGCACCTTTCAGTCCATCAGTGGCTTCGCTTTGCCATCCCGGATTCACAACAATCAAGCTCTCCTATAGGTTTCCTATTTTTGAAACTTCCGCCACCGCCTTGTGCGGTACTACTGGTACTGGGAAGTGCTTTGTGCAAGCATTGTAGTACAAATTCCTACTGGGAAGTCCTTTGTGCAAGCTTTGTAGTACAAAGTAGCCCTGAAAGGTATTTCGTGTGAGCTTTGTAGTATAAAGAAGTATTGGGAAGTGCCATGTGCAAGCTTTGTAGTACAAAGTACTGCTGGGAAGTGGCCTGTGCAAACTTTGTAGTGCAAAGCAGTGCCGGGAAGCACTTTGTGCAAGCTTTTTAGTACAAAGTAGTAAAGTGTGAAGTGAGGAGCGGAGAGTGTGAAGTGTGAAGTGTAGAGTGCGATGTGGGAAGTGTGAAGTGCGGAGTGTGAAGTGTGGAGTGTTGAGTGTGAAGCGTGAAGTGTGGAGCGTGAAGTGAAGTGTGAAGTGTGCAGTGCCAGGTGTGCAGTGTGAAGTGTGGAGAGCGGAGTTTGAAGTGAAGTGTGAAGTGTGAAGTGTGGATTGTGAAGTGTGCAGTGTGAAGTGTGAAGTGTCAAGTGCGGAGTGTGAAGTGGGAAGTGTGGAGTGTGAAGTGTGAAGGAATTGTGGAGTGTGATGTGGGAAGTGCGGAGTGTGAAGTGTGCAGTGACAGGTGTGCAGTGTGACGTTTGGAGTTTGGCGTGTGAAGTGAAGTGTGAAGTGTGAAGTGTGAAGTGTGAAGTGTGGAGTGGAGAGTTTGAAGTGTGAAGTGTGAAGTGTGAAGTGGAGTGCGAAGTGTGGAGTGTGAAGTCTGAAGTGTGTGGTGCGTGTGGAGTGTGTGGAGTGTGGAGCTAGAGAGTGGAGTGTGAAGTGTGGAGTGTAAAGCGCGGAGTGTGGAGTGTGGAGTTTGGAGTGTGGAGTGTGAAGTGTGGAGTGGAGAGTGTGGAGTCTGATGTGGAAAGTGTGGAGTGTTGAGTGTGAAGTGTGAAGTGTGCAGTGGAGAGTGTGAGGTGTGAAGTGTTGAGTGTGAAGTGTAGGGTGTGGAGTGTGGAGTTCAGGGTGCAAAGTGTGAAATGGAGTGTGAAGTGTGAAGTGTGAAGTGTGAAGTGTGAAGTGTGAAGTGTGAAGTGTGAAGTGTGAAGTGGAGCGCGGAGTGTGGAGTGTGTGGAGTGTGTGGAGTGTGGAGCTAGAGTGTGAAGTGTGGAGTGTGAAGTGTGGATTGTTGAGTGTGAAGTGTGAAGTGTGTAGCGTGGAGTGTGAAGTGTGCAGTGTGCAGTGTGGAATGTGGAGTGTTGAGTGTGAAGTGTAGAGCGTGGAATGTGAAGTGTGAAGTGTGGAGTGGGGAGTGTGGAGCGTGATGTTTGATGCGTGGAGAGTTAAGTGTGGATTGAGTGTGGAGTTTGGAGTGCGAAGTAATATTGGGAAGTGCCTTGTGCAAGCTTTGTAGTACAAAGTAGTACTGGGAAGCGCTTTGTGCAAAAATTGTAGTACAAAGTAGCACTGTGAGGTACTGTGTGGGCGCTTTGTAGTACAAAGTAGTACTGCGAGGTGTTCCAGATGTGTCAAGCAAGAGTGTCCAACAAGAATATCTTACAAGAGTGTTTCAGAGTATTGAGAGAGAGTGTTTTACCAGAGTGTGCCACAAGAGTGTCGGGCAAAAGTGTCAAGCAAGAGTGTCTCACAAGAGTTTCCCATAAAAGTGCCCCACAAGAGTATGCCACAAGAGTGTCACGCAAGAGTGTCCCACACGATTGTCCGAGAAGAGTGTCAAGCAAGAGTGTTCTGCAAGAGTTGTTTTTCATGCGATCGAGATTGCAATTTCTCAAGCCGATACTAGCAGCAATAATACATGAAGTAACGGTGATGGCAGGTTTGGTGACTGTTTCTTGTTTGTTTCTGTTGGTGCCTGTCAATGTCTTGTGAGGTGCCAAAACCATGAAACGTGCACAGGCACCCCCAAAAAAACAACCAAAAACAAACCACTATATGCACAGGCAAAAAAAAAATCAAAAAACACGATTCTCAAGAACTATGGAACCGCTCGTGAGTACTTGCTCGAACTGTTGTTTTGGTTCGTTTTGGCATCTGTGCAGGTTTGGTGAATCTAGTTTTTCTGTTGGTGTTTGTCAATGTTCTGTGTATATATATATATATATCCAGGGTCTCAGTCCCTCTAAGTGCATAAAAACCAGTATTTTACAGTGTTTCATGTTCACTTTTAATGAACAATCACTCCCCCATTGGGTGCTGCTCTCAAAAGGAAGCAACCAAAGCAAGAGGCTGTGCTAGAGAAGCAGAACCCCCGGGTTTGTCAAAAAGTGGCCACATGAAGAAACTGACTGCTCGGTCCCGCTTTTCCTCTGACACACTCCCCCTGCTGGTGGCTGGGGTTGGCGGATATGTGTATCTGAAATATATATAGATATATGTATAAACATGCATCAAATATGTATCTGAGATGCAATAGACTTTCGAATATATTCTCCCATAAGATGTACTGCAATTTGTTACGGTGGTTCCTCTAGCTTGTTTGATCGCCTATCTAGTACATCCCAGTACAACCAAGACAACTCGAATGGATTCGAATGGATTTTCGTGAAATTTGTAGACGACAATAAAAAGAATTTGTTTTGCAAACAAACATTTTTTCCCCGTTTTCCCCGAGGACTGGGAAAAATGGTCCGAATGCAGTGAATCCTGTGGTGGAGGATCAAGATCTCGGTCTGGAGCTGAGCTTTGCCAGCAGTCACGGTTCCGCAAAACTGATGATCCGATCATATCGGGGGTATTCGGGGATCGTTCAAAAACCCATGTAAGATTTTTAGTACCCAAGTAACAGCTGCTATCATCTGCTATGGACGCGGGTTTTACTACAGTTGCGAAAGGTCGCGGTTTGGCGAACAGTATACTGTATATATATATATAAACAAACTATGTATGCGATAGTATTTCATGCTTAGCCGTTCCGCTTGCATTCAAGACACCATTGTGGCAACCATTGAACAAAAATTCCTCATTATATAAGTGATTTTTACTCAACAATTCCCGGGTGAGCCCTTGGTATGAGACATACACACAACTAAATATGGACCATATGCTAATACCTCCCTGCCCCTATTCTGGTTGAGCGCGAAAGGGCTTGAAAGGTTTGCGAAAGCGTGGCGAAAGGGAAGTCTTGGATAATTTTGAACAACCCCCATAAATACACAATACAGCATAATTCCAAACTATATAGATAGAATTATATAGATAGATAGATATGATAGATACATATAATTAATATACAAATAACATGTAAACATATAGGCGCATACCAGCGGCACTGTGACTGGCTGGGAAGACTGTTGAAGATCCAGTGAGCCGAATGAGCACCAGCCCTTTGCAAAACGTGTTCAGAAAACTCCATGATTAGTGCGTGTGGGAAATCCCCTTTTTTTTGCATGATAGCTTTCTCTGATGAGCACTTCTGACTTGCAGGACTAGAGGTGTCAAGCAGGAGGCGAGCTCGAACGAAACTGGACTTGAATTGTTCAACATGGGCAATGGAAGTTCGTTTCCCAAACCAAGTGCCATCAACCTCGAACAGACAGACCAAACAGAATGAACAGATCTAACAGTATCCCAACTCTCTCGTACAAGGATCAACTGTCAGCTTTTATGTCCTTGGCTATTGGTGGCCTCAGGTGTCTCCTATGTTTCCCGGCAAATGTCCCACCCTTCAAGCTGTCCAAGTATGGCCACAACAATCTCTGGTCCCTGATACGCTCCCTTTTGGCAGGGTGACAACGGAGGCACAGAATGCAAAGATTCCAAGAAGAAGCAGATTGAGGAGAGGTCATTTGCACTTCCATCCTGTGTACCTGTCGCATCATTGCCTCATTTAGCATAATCTTGCACATGTCATTTTATCCTATGCAGATGGGGCGACTGGAATTTTGTAGAACCACATGTTGACAACAGACAGTGTGCCTGCTAATACAAAGAGCATCAACGAACCGTGAACATGGACCAAATGCCAAATCCCCGACAAGGCCAGGATGTTTGTAACATTTCTAACATAGCGCCTACGGGGTTTCAATTTCTTGGTCTGGGGGGCGGGAGTGGTGCATGGTTTGCTTGCCGAGCCCAAAGCATGAGCGGAACCGGAACAGAACCCGAACGGAACAGTGGAGCTCTTGAAACCTGAAACACTGCTGTCGGGGTGAAACCCTGCTGATTAATCTAACAATGCAGTATATCTATGTATATCTTCATGATTTATCCAATATTTGTTTGTGATCTAAGTCGATGGTCTGATTGTGGAACCTGGCAGGACTGTAACTCTGAGAATTGTCCTGTGGACTGCGTGATCAGTGACTGGCAGGACATTTTGGGCCAGCACGCTAATGTTTTTCCCTTTTTACTCGTGAAGTGACTAGTCAGCCGGAAACCCTGGTTTATTCCAGCAACAATGAGAAATTTAAGATGATTCAAGCTTGGCGTTGCTAAGTTAGATCTCAAAAAGTTTTGCTTTGAACGACGTGGACGGCGCGATTTGTTGGTACCATTGTTGAATTTGATTAAATTTATATGGCAAAAGACATGACCCGACATGACCCGAATCATATCCCCAACCTCAAAATGGACCCCTTCAGGACTGCCCTTGCGTAGTGCTGTTGCAGGATTGGAGCAAATGTACTCCTGACTGTTCTGGGAAACGCAGTAGATCCCGGACCATCATACAGGCAGCCAAGTACGGTGGTGAGGCGCAAATGTGCAGCTGGGCATTTCACAGACCTTGGTTTGAGTTCTGTGAAATGTTTGTCGCCGGGGGCTGCTGCCAGGCATGCGGTGACGCCAAAGAGGATGAATCTTGTGATGGTGTCTGCACGGACTGCGAGTATCAGGACGGTCACATGCACTGTATGCACTGTATGCACTGTATGGCAATTCTGTGGTGGATTGCAGTCCTTTTCACAATGGTGGCTGAGGACTGGTCCGCATGGCAGGATTGTCCTGTCACTTGCGGTGGAGGCAAGCAAAACCGTACCCGTGATGTAGCTGTGCCAGCTACCAATGGCGGGAAAGAGTGTGTTGGGATTCTCGGCTCATCTAACCATTCTTTCAATACATGCATTGCGACAACGGGACTTGTTTTTCTTTTCGATGTTCGGACTTCTCTCTTTGACTCTTGACATAGGCTTTTGCGATGGAGGAATCTATTGTGCCAGCGTGATGCGGCTGTGTCAAACAAGTTGTTCAACCCACATCTTCATAGCATCAGTGGAAGCAGAATAATTAAACAACTTACGATGAAATCCTCCGTTTGAGAAGCTAATGCCCAGCTCTTTCGAGCTGGGCAAATGCCCAGTGTCCCAGGAACGCCACAGAGTCTAAAGCATGTCGTGAAGAAGCCTGCCCAGCAGATTGTGTTCTGGATGATTGGACAGCTTGGAGCGCTTGCGAACCCTACTGCCTAGGACAGATGCGGGCTTAGGAAAGTATCTAGGCACCTCGAGGTTGAACCCTGGGATTCAAGCCTTCTGAATCTGAGGGATTCTTGGCAGATCCAGAGGATTGAACGATTAAAAAAGGGGATCTCAAGCCATCGGCAAAATGGCTGCTCTCACACACCATCAACCAAGAAAAAGCGGATGTCAAATCCTTCCAGTCTTGGCACCCTGCACAGGAAACATGACTAGACAGAGGGGCATAAAGACACCTCCTTCCAACGGTGGGGCTGCGTGCGGTACTTTGGTCTGAGATATCTTCAGAAAGGTTCAGTTTTTTCTGTTTAGTTTTGTCTCCTACCAAAAGAATACAAGAGGTTCCAAAGGGTTTCAACGTGGCTCTCTGGTTTCTAGAAAAAGATTTGGTTCAAGTATGTTCAAATCGGGGCTATCAACTCTACAAATGCAGTGGTCCTGCGGGTCCTGTCTAGCATTGTGAGTGACAAGCAAGCTGCGAATCCATCCCATGCATTCCCATGGCGTCAGTTTTCACAAGCACCAGGTGCTCAAAACGAAACGAAGGCATGTGGCAACTTCTGCATGAACTGCCGCTGGGACGACTGGAGCCCTTGGACCAACTGCAGCTCTGCTTGCGCCGGCGGCAAGACAAACCGGTACCTTGGAAATATCAAGAGATCAATTCGGTGAAAGTGGGGGAAGGTTGGGGGCAAGATCCAGTCTGGCCTAAGGAGCACAGATCAAACACTTGTGATGCCAAAGGCAGAAGCTTCAGCTGCAGGTTTGAGCCGGACATGCAGGGAGCCAAAGGATGTTGCATGTTGCATAGATTAGGAGAAGTCCTCAGAATCAGATTGGACTAGATAGAAGGCCTTGCTGTAGATCGACTTGGAACCTCTTTGTGATTCCTTGACATTGGTATTGGTGAGAGAATGACTTGCACTTGTATCCTGTTGTATCTGTTGTCCAAAGTGATTGATAGACACATGACACATAATGCCGGATTGGATTAAGGTTCGGTTTCGTGGACTCTTTGACTACACCATAATGTCTTTTGTGCGACTGACAGTTTCAATGCAGAGATCAGATGAATCAATATTGAAAGAATGTTCTCATATGTTCTCCAGGATTTTTTGATAGCTGGAGTTGCTTGGTTCTGGCCTCTGCTGGCCTTCCTTTTATATTCTTTTATGCTGACCACACTGTACATTGCACTGTACATTGCACTGTACATGTCTCCAGATGTCTCCAGAAGGTGAACTGCTGACTTGATGTTCAACCTGGCAACGCGTCAGCACGTGTCAGCCAGGTGCTTTGCTCGAGGCCGAACCAGTGGTAGAAACAGCGACTGCAGCAACTGCGGTAAAGGCAGAAAAGATTTACGGCTTCGAACTCAAGGTCAACAAGATGTGCGACAAGGCACACCAGGTGCGCCAATAAGATGCTGTGGTCTTCGCTCTACGGATTGACCAGTGTTTTCAGATGTTTTCAGCGCATGGTGAGTTGAGACAAAGTTGAAGCACTCGGAGTGTCGGAAACGGAGAAACACTGTCCTGTCCAGGATGCCAAAAGCCTCTCCTTAAGCAAGGCCAAAGAGCAGTGTCAGGCCATCCAAAGCCCTATCAGCTTACGAAGATGGATGGCATTTCATAGGTTAAAGTCTTGTCAACCAAGCTGCCTTTCGGTAGGATGACTTATTTTGAATCTCATCGAAGGGGGAATGGCAACTGAAGAACGTCGGACTACAGGACTCACATCTCACGCTCTGCTTCAAGTACAGGTTTAATTACGCTTTGCTCAGGACGGTCAGGCCAGTACTTTCTCGCAGGGGTGTCCACAGCCCGGTGTGATTTCAGGAAAATCTGACAGACAAAGTCAGTACTTTCGGCCGGTCGGCCATTCGGCCAGGCTGATGCGAACTGTTTTGGCCTCTTCGATGCTGAGTGCGATGGTAAGGAGGCAGGTGGTGGGAGCTGCGACGGACCCGACTAGGGAGCAGCATCACCTCAGACCAGCTGCTTTCTATGCACATGTCATCATGAAAAGATTTATGAAGCCAGGCGACCAGACATCATTTTTTGTCAACCATTCCAAACAGCCTTCGACTTCCCAGAGAAAAATCAGTTCGTAATGAGTTTTGGAACCAATTTGTCATACTGTTTCAGCAACTTGGCGAATTTGCACGGAAGGTCGCCTTCTGCAGTAGTGGTTTTGTGCAGCAGCCACAGAATGCTTCCTGTACATACACCAAGAAGGCCTGACCGACTGACCGACAGGCAGACTCGCCAACTGGGGCATGGCACGGGCACGGACTAGCACCGACTAAAGCCGCTTGTAGGAGATCGGTGGAGGTGCTCCTTGCGAAGGTGAAGGATTTGAGTCCAAGGATTGCAACACAGCGTTTGGGCCTCGTTTCTGCCAGAGCAAGACGCTTTACCAGTACCATTTGGTCTGTTTGCCCCAACATCGAGGAAGACCCCTGAATCCTAGACTTGCCACTTGAGATGCTTGTTTTGCTGTGCTGACAGCGTTGAGTTGCAAAACCTAATCTTGTAGTCAATGTAGTCCGTATAGTAGTTCAAATCTGGCAGATCTTGATGCGACTCATGCTGAGTCCTTGTCCGCGGGACTGCATCTACACTGACTGGACCAAGTGGTCCATCTGCGAGCCTTTCTGCAAGGGCAATCAGAGCCGTAGCAGAAAGCGAAAGGTTGAGGCGGCAGATGGGGGTAAACCCTGCTCCAAGGAGGAGCGGCAAGACTCGGGAGGAGGATCATACATGGTAATGTGTGACAGTAGAAGGTCCATTTAGAATTTAGAATTTAGAATTGTTTAGATTCTCTTTAGGTCAGGGAGGATTCCAACAGAGCCCGCTAAGTTTCATGAAGCTACTTCAACTTTGTCCTATCGGTGTTTTTTTTGCTCAATTTTATTAACATTTTTCCAATTTCATTAATACCCTGCGACATAAAGCAGGACGAAGAAGAAAAGCGTAACTGCACCAACGATTGCGCAGACTGTCGTTGGGAAGAATGGAGCGAATGGGCAACATGCACAGCCACTTGCGGAGGCCTGTTGCCCGACTTCGGATGTAACTTTGTACAGGGTACTCTTTGCCTCTTTTTTCCTCTTTCTACCTCTTGCATCTATTAGGAATGTGCCTTTCCAAGTTCAGTGACGAGTTTTGGGTCGGGCATTTATCCTTTGTTTTCTTGGCGCATGCGCATGCCAGCTGAAACAACGCTCCTGCAAGTTTGTTGGATTATTATTCGTGGGTGGTTGGGCCGCTTTGACATGGTTGCTCAGCAAAATCCAATTACAATTCTTACACGTACTTTCACGATATGTTCGCAGCCCTTCGCAGTGCCTACTTTGAGCCAACAAGCGGCTGACATGGCTGGGCTTTGAATGGAATTGCTCCGTCCTGTGCAGTCCAAGCCCTTAAGCCTTAGCTTGCAGTGGCTTAGTCTACTTAGTCTGCTTAGTCTGCTTAGTCTGCATACCAGTACGGTCTCCTCGCCAGGTGGAACTCGCAGCCATAGCCGCGACATAGCATCACCTCTACAGGGCGAAGGGCAGAACTGCACCGGGCCTAGCTCCGAAGAGAAGCCGTGCAACGAGCAAAGGTGCAGCCGCAGAACACTGTGTCCGGGTCGTCTGTAGTCACTGCAGCTAGGTCCAAGTTGGGGGTTGGGCTTCGGATTTTGATTCTGTTATGAGTCATGAGTCAGTTGAGTACTGTTGAAATAATGTTGAAATTCAGGATTCATTTCCTAAGAGTGAATATATACATAGTCAAGGGTCCCAGAGATCTGGATCTGAAGCAGCCTACAATGGGGTTCCCCAAGATTCTGACATTCGAACCAGATTCAGAGCTAGGCTTCAAGGTTCGAATGTGCACGGCTTCCAAACACCAGATTAGAAGCGCTTCTGAAGCAGCAACTTCAGAACCAGGTTCCAAAATGCAAGGTCTTCACGGAAAATCAAAGAAACACGGCTCTTATAGGCTCCCCAACAAATCGTATTGAAACACAAAGGTGCAAAACTCCCAAGGACTATTTTGCAATCTTCTGGAGAAGGAAGGAGGTTTTCTGAAGCAGATAGTTTCAGGACCAAAGTTTGCAAACAGAAGCAACACGTGCATACCAGTTGTCGAAAATGCCAGGCTCTTACTCACAAGCTTTTGAAAGACAAGAGGTCAGAATCAGAAGAGGATAGAGATTTGTGAGGACAAGGTTGCAAGCTTCTCAAGCAGAAAGTTTCCCAAGAGCAAAGTTCCCAAGATTTCCCAAGAATTTCCCAGTGCAAGGTGTTCTCAAAGACAAGATTCCCAGATGCAAGGTTTCAACAACACCTGAACATGTTCAGAAATTATGATGGGGGACCACATCTTGACATGCTGTGACTATGATGTTCTGTGGTGGGGAGACTCTTTGGGCTGATGGAGGACTGGGTTTCCAAAACCCTCACCCTCTAAGAGATCAACCCAGCACAAATGCCTGAGGGTGCCTCCGGGTCCTTGGAATTGTCAAGCACCCAACACAGCCAAACAGTTCGACGAATCTGGCCCCAAAAATGCAACCCTTAGTAGCCTTGCTTCATCCGTCAACAGTTCCGCATCTCTCATGTAGCAGCAGGTGCCCCAGGGATTGCGTTCTGAGCGATTGGACCGCTTGGACTCCATGCGATCCATACTGCTCCGGTGACTTGGAGATTGAAGCAGTATGGAGCAGTCTGCATCACATCGCAGACTTGGGATTCATTGTGGGATTCATTGGGATTCATTGGGATTCTTCTCTTTTGATTCTTCTCTTTTGAACGCAGCGGTTCCAAATCACTCTCGCTGAGCATAACATGAAACTGTTTTCAGAGAGACAGGCCAACAAGCTGAAAGGATTTGTCTTGTTGACCTGTCAAGTTCAAGTAGGGACATCATGGGACATCCCACTCCTATCAAGCTGACGGCGCATGAGCCTTTCACTTTTTGAACCTTACTTCATTAAAGCCAGTTTTGTATTGTTTCTCAGCTCTGCTTTTACTCTGACTTAGGCTCCAAGAATCGGACTCGAGCCATGGTCAGCAATGCTACAGATGGCGGCAAGCCATGTGGTGATTTGCTGGAGAAGAAGGCAGGATCGACGGCACTGGAAGCATGTTGATCGCATGTTGGTCAGTTTGCTACAGGGACTTCTTCCGGTGCAAATTTCATCACTGGTTAAGACCCTCAAGACGCATTCACGAAAGCTAGTCTGCTATAGCACCAGAGTGTTGGCTTTGCTTTAGCAATGTATTTGGGGAGATGGGCACAGATGCAGAAAGCCCGATATATCGGGACGAAAGTTACCACCCACCCGGTCTCAGGTTGGTAATCTCGAAAGTTTGCCTGGCTCTAGCATGCTGTAGCATTCTATTGCAGCGTTTGCAGCTTGAAGCTGGGGACATTTGGGGACATCTGGGGATATCTGACACGGTTTCAATCCTGCAATGCAAAGGACGTTTTGACAGCAATCCGTGAGGCTTGCAGCAACGTTTGTGAAGAGTGCAAGTGGTCCCATTGGTCTGCCTGGGCCCCATGCTCGAAGACTTGCTCAGGCCGTAGACAACATGGACAACATGCATGAGGGACATATGAGGGACATATGAGGGACATATGAGGGACATATGAGGGACATATGAGGGACATATGTGACATACATGTGGCATAAAGCAAAAGTCCGAGAAGCGTGCGGCGAATCATGGAAAGATCTGGAAAGACTTGCATGAAATGCCAATGGAATGTTTGAATTGTTTGATGAATGTTCAGCTGTCTTTGTGAATTGACCTGCAGGTGGTGTTCAGAACCGGACCCGCTTCATTGCTGTTGCGGCAGTGGGCGAGGGTGTAAAGAACTGCTCTGGTGATTCCTCCCAAATGCAAGGTTGCAACTTGGAAGAGTGTCCTTCGGACTGCCAGTACGAGGCTGGATCATACGACAGGCTTCCTGCACGAAATGAGTTTGCACATGTTTGCATGCATTACAGGTGAGAGGAACCAAAGACCAAAACTAATTTTTGAAAACAGAAACCTAGACAGTGCTTGATGTGAGCCTTGTGGCTGCAGCGAATCTTGGGGTAGTTCTTTTCCTCTCAGATTTGCATGGTAGAAAGACGCTCTGAAGGATGCAACTGTTGATGAATAATAGCTATGGATTCTTGCCTATCACATCCTGATGCACAAGTACCTGTGCCACTGTGTAGAGCTCGGGTTATCCTTTGGAATCCTTGGGAAGCTCCTCTATGGAGTGATTTGCTGCCGTAGCTGCCGCTGTTGCTGCTGGTGCTGCGGCTGCCGTTGTCGTGGGGTTTGGTAGCAACGTAGCAGTGGTGGAGTCTCTTCCTTTCCTCTGCAGGATTGGGATAGTTGGTCCGCATGCAAGCCTTTTTGCAAGGGATCGCGAGAGAGGACGCAAGCATTCCTGATTTGTTTTGTTATTCATGGAGATCATGTCCAAGTGGCAGGATAGTCTAAGTCTAAGCGTTTGTTTTGCATAGTAGCGGACCATTTGTAACCAACGGTCAACTCACTCAAGCAGATCAGAAACCGTTTGGATTGAGCATTCATTTTGTGGATGACTACAGATTTTTGGCACAGCAGCAGTCTTCACTCGACATAGAGCAGGGTTCTTGCTGGCTCATCTGACTCTGCTAGGAGCCGTACCGTGAGGGCTGAGCCAACTTTCGGGGGTGCAGCCTGCAGCAACCTTTCGCAGAAGGAGGCTGGAGCTTGAGCATCGGGTGATGAACCTTCAGGATCTTCAGGGTCTGGACATTTTAGATATCCGTCCGCCGGGCTATTGATTGATTAGGTTGATACGCTAGCTCTGTCCTTTGGGCTGTGATTTCAAAACAATTCAACTAAATCGATATTCTGTGCACTTCTTTCTATCAATTCCGAATTCGCATCAATTCGTATCAATTTGATTCAATTCGTATCAATTCGTTGTTTCTTGAGGCCTGTAGCAATATATGCACCGACTGCGTCTGGTCCCATTGGACGAAGTGGAGCCCTTGCTCCGCCACTTGCGCAGCAGGGTCGCAGGAGAGCACAGCGTTCTATGGCCATTGTGAGATAAGGGATTCCCATAGTGAAGTGACGTGGCTTTATCCGAACTTTATCCAAAGACGGTGGATTACCCCAAAATCATCAATGGCAATTTGAATGTGGGGATACAATACTGATGATGTGAAAGTCGCGGTGCCCGATTTTCAGACAAATTCACGGTTTGCTATTTTCACATTAGCTGTACGAATCCTGATGATGATGATGATGATGACGACGACGACGACGACGACGACGTATGCTGACGTATGCTGACGTATGCTGACGTATACTGACGTATGCTGACGTATGCTGACGTATGCTGACGTATGCTGACGACGACGACGTATGCTGACGAAGACATTTGGAGGCTCTTTTGTATGAGAGACCACAGCAGGAAGAAACCATGAGTTGGGATGCAGCAACAAAAAACCACAAGTGCGATGCAAAAAATCATGTTCCAGGAGCGAAGTCGTAGAATCGCTGAAGAGCTGCAGGGTCACGGCAAGAACTGCACTGGTCCCGCAAAGGAGACGAAGACCTGCAGCCTGGAGGAGCTACAAACGTTGTTCTGGACAACCTGTGTGCTTTTGAAAGTTGAAGGGAATGGTCAGAGATTATCCGACTCTTTCCGCAGGAATTGTTTGATCAAACTGCCAGAAATTCAGTAGCAAGACCAAGCCTGGAGCCACTCGCAATACAGAAACTGACAATAAATTTGCCGTTGCGACGAGCTGCGTGTTGCGACCCTGACAGGAATGCCCCGTCGACTGTGTGCAGGGCGAGTGGCAAGATTGGACCCTCTGCGAACCTTACTGCGATGGAGTTCAAAAAAGAACCCGACCTGTTCTGGTCCCAGCACCTTGATGTCTAAAAGCAGCTGGTGCTGGAGCAAAGAATTCTGGAAGGTCAAGATCCAATATGACATGATATGACCCAAACAAATCTAATAAATGTGACATGCGAAGTGCAACGGTGAAACTCCAAATCGGGGGCTTGCAAGTTTGCAGGGTCAGAGAGTCCATGATTTATTCATGGTGACACTTTCATCCAAGTCTTTTGCAGTAAAAGCAGTGAAATCATAGTTTTTTCCGCACATCCTATATATAGCTTGTTGAGGCCTCGAATGGTGGCGTTCCCTGTGGCCTACACATGGAGTCGAGACAGTGCAACAACACTTGCTTGGATTGTCTGTGGTCAGACTGGCTGGAAGCCTGGCAGGTGTTGCTTCCCTTCGTAAGCTTAAGGATTCTAGTACGAAGGCGGTGTGTTCTCTTCAAACGCAGATGGAGTGCGACTGTGCCTGTTTCTGAAACCCAGATTTTCAGCAATAACAATTCAATAAGAATTCAACATGATTAAGCAGCTTTCCTTGCAAGGACTGGGACCCTTGTGATGCAAGCTGCGATGGAGGGTCACAGTCGCGCACGCGAAGCATTGATCGACCCAAAGTTGGCCAAGCCCAAGACTGCATAGGCCGTCCGTTCGCTCCTGTTGCAGGTGCAGTCATTGTAGTGACATTGTAGTGACATTGTATTGCCATTGTAAATGAAGTAGGGCAAACCCTGCCATGTGCTAAACCTGTGCCACCCGGACAGGTGCGAGCAAGGAGTCTAAGGACTGCAACACCATGAGTTGTCCTGTTGACTGTCAAACGAGTGACTGGACCAAGTGGTCCACTTGCAGCCCCTACTGCCCCTCAGCTTGGCACTGGCGGGAGCGCATGTGAGACTGTGAGACTGTGAGACACAGTGAGACACATTCTTCATCTTAAAGTTTGCTATAGTTTGCTCTAAAATCCAGTTGACCATAGATGCCATAGATGTTTTTTTTCTTGAGCCACAGAGAACCATTGACCACGGCAAGCAACAGGACTGGATCGTACACTTGAACACAATGGTCAACCATGATGAACTGCTGGTCTTGGTGAAATGGTGCTCAATTGAAGCTGAGGCTAAGTCATGAACGTTGAATGCCTGTTATATTTTGAGGTTTGCTGTTGGAAAGTTGGTGGCAACCACGGTGGGATCAGCTGGTAACCCTGGTAACCCATCCAGTCAATTGGGTCCGAGCCGATTCTTGTCTCGTTGAGGTTTGGGCACGCAGAATCGCAGCCGCACCGTGATGTCCCCCGCGTCCAACGGTGGCGCAGCTTGCGGTGTCCTCAACCAATCGCAGCGCAACTTGGCAGAATAGATGGGAGGTACCCATAGGTACCCAGGATACTGAGATATAATGAGATATATTAAGCTCCCCTGGATTGCTGGTCATTGATTGAACAAAGAGTTTTTGTGACATGTTCCAGTAGCAATCAAGAGACTGAAGATGCATAGCCTGCATAGCTTCTCTTCACGTTTCACCATACATTCAAGATTCGAAGCTGCTTGAGCTTCAACCCTGCCAGGTTGCACCAATTTTTGCATGGACTGCCAGCTCTCTGACTGGACTGGATGGTCAAAGTGCAGCAAGAGCTGTGAAGGTGGTATTCAGCATCGGCTCCGGGATGAAGTGCAGCTTGACTTCAGCTGACAAAACTTGGAGGTTTCACACTGAAAGCAAGTCACATCAGTCACATGTCAGCTTTGCATAGCTTTGCTGTGAAAGCCCTGCAAACGACCCACCTGCCCAGGTACGTGCAACGCAGGGCAGCATTCAGTGCCTCAGACTGATCTGGCAAAGAAATGGGCAAGCAAGTTGGTTTTTCGTTGGCTTGAGCATCGATTTCATGTTTTTCTTGCCTCACCATTTTCTAGTCTGACTTGAAGAACCTCGTCTTGAAGCTGTTTCCTTGTCGTATTTCTGCTGCAATCTCTTCACTGGCTTCACGGGTTGCGAAGTCTTGAATCGCTGAATCTGTTGACTCGTGTGACAGCTACTCTAAAAGTGTCAGTTTGGTGCAACAACTGATTTCGAAATATTCGGAATCTGTTTTACTTACATTCCCCGAAACTGGGGCATTGGAAGATTTTGAAGCCGGGGGATGTGTGATTTAAAACTTAGCAGTTCAGGCCTCATGGAGCAAGAGAGTGCCAAGTCTTCCACAGGAGAGATATCGAGTCTCAAGATGTTGTCATATTATGTCATATTTGCACTTCTTTGGAAGTTTGATGACAGGCAGGTATTCAGAATTCACCATTCTAGTTCAGAGAAAACCACAAGCAAACCTGGTAGATGTGGGAGTCCAAGCTCGAATAGCCTGGCCTGAAGTCTTCCCACCCGCACCCCTCTGCCACTGAAGGTGTCTGAAGCACAACCCTTTCACCCACTCTAGTTCGTGCACTTGCTTGGCATCCACTTTCAGTGAGTTGTTCCTGGTGCAGGGACTTTCCCTTGATGCGGTTTCAGTTCTTTCATTCGTGAGGGTTCGAAATCATGCACTTCGAGCATCAAGCGATAGTCAGCCAGCTGCCAGGAGCTTTTGGCTACCAAAAGAGCATGGGTGTAAGGCAGGGCTATTTGATTGTAACAAGATCCTTCCATATCCTTCCTAAAGCCAAGGGTTGTGAAAGTTGCATTCGTAAATTCGTACTCATTTGATCTATTTTGATCTTGCTGTATTTGTTTGGATTTTCTTGGCAGTTCGCAGGTGTGACCCGGCCAACCAGCGCAACTTGGATGGCGCTGGAAGCCCACAAGATGCCGAAGCTCTGTGCAGTGCGGATCCATCTTGTGGAGGTGCCGACCTTTTACATTGCGCAAGTACCTTTGTTTGTACCTTCCTGGAAGGGACAGTTACATGTTTTTACTGCATAGTTTTGATGAACACATATGAAAAGAATTGAAAAGACACATACTGTATTTATACCTTCAGCCCTTTTCTTCACAACAGTATTTCCGACCCTGAAGCAGCACAGTCAGCACAGTGGCTTGTAAAGGTCTCTATGACCGCGGCTGCGATAATTGGCTCACCTTGTGCAATGTAAACTTCACCCTGGAGCATGAAGAGGGCTCATGCAGCTACCTCAAACAGGTGCAGAACCTTGTTCCTGTTGAAAAAGTACCATGAGAGCTTCAACATTTTGTTCACTGAAGCACGTGCTTGGAAAGAATCAACGTATATCAAAGTGATGAATTAATAAATAAATCAATGTATATATTTGTTTCTTTGCTTGGAACTTTGGAGAGCAAGTACTGTGTTGTCGATATAGTTGCCAAAATGGCTATGTCATTTTGGCTCAAGTTCCCTGACAGAAGTAACTGTGTCAAGAATCGCTCTCTTTCTGGTTACTCACCATTATGGCTGCCATGGATGCTTCGCCAAGTCCGACGGCACGAGAGACAGGATCGAATCACCCTTCTTTGGACAAGACCTTCCTGGAGAGCGTGGGACTGCACCACCCGAAGACGTAGGCGGAGATCAAATTGCTCTACAAGGAGTTGGGCCCCTTCTTGGCGGCTTCTACCTTTTCGGCCCGCACCACAGAGATCCTCGATTTCCCTGAGCAGGCTATCCAGGATTCGAAAGAACAGATGCGGTTAAGAGCCGTGTGTGATGAGCGCATCACTTTGCTTCTCCGTGCCTTCAGGCACGTGCCAGGCAGAACATGGTGGATGTCCAGGTGGCTTGGCGCTGCAACTGTGAGTGGGTGACCTTGGCGCCGCCGGATGAGGCTCAGCAGATCTACCAATCGCTCGGCTACAGCCAGGCAGAGGTGGAGAAGTTCCTCCAGCATGCAGTGGAATTTGGGGCTGACAGGGTGCAAGCGGTACCCCTGCCAGTGGCAAGTATACCCGGTCCTGACAGCACAATGTGAGCTCCATTTGCAGGCCCAAGTACCGGCGGGATCACTATGGAGACAAACATGCACATGCATTCTGGGGCAAGGCAGACTGTGGTTTGATTTTGAGCAGCATCTTGCCTTGGGAGTTCAAGACCAAGGAGGCAGGCATCACCAAAGGCGGATGGGTGTGCAAGGGCCTGCGTGCCAGAGTGGTGGTGCCTCCAGGTTTGTCCAGATAGTGGGGAACCACAAGGGCCAGAAGGTGAACCTCCAACTCATCCTCGATGAGCCGCCGGCCCCTCTGCATGAGGCCTGGGTGAAGTCGGGCTTGGAGTATTAGAAGCGAGTGGAGCCGACCACACCCAGCGCTTGAAGTTCTCCGTGCAGAACAGCATGGGAAACGTCTCGAATGCCATCTGGTCATTCCTGCTCAGCAACCCGGAGCTTGAGAGCCTCAGCCCGTGTTTCCCGTGTCTAAGTGAGGTCTTCTGCGGGAGCCTGCCCGTATTTTTGAGGAGCAGACGGCGCGGTAGCCGGTAGCCCTTGGCACAAGGTGGTCGATTCCTCCGGTGGACAGGCCACCTGCACTGGCGGGACACCCGGCCAGCGTACAGCTCTGCTGGTACGACCAGCAACAGTTGCGTGAAAAGATACTAAACGGCGGTGAAGAAAAGTCGACAGCATGAAGTGTTTTTCGAACGTTTCTTTTGTTTTTACTTCTGCTGCAACTGTTTTTGACTGACAGAGGGCCTGGTTTTTGAACATGCACCCTTTTCTTCAGATGATTGACTTTTGATGGGAGGGTTGTGATGTTTGCACTCATTTTGCACTTTGACTTCTGTGAGAGGGTTTGGGCACCTGTAATGTAGGATGACCTTTGATTTGATAGGGTGTTTGGGAGGTGCTCGGTGAAGTGTCCCTCTAGATCGTGAGTTGTCGCTTGGTAGTGGGTTGATCTTGTTTTGCGCACTGTATCACTTGCTCCGTAGCCCCCCTTTTAGTTGGGCCCTAAGGAAGACACCAGCCTGGAAGGCACATGATGGAACCGACACTGATCCGGCAAACCCTGTTTGGGTTGGCAATGGTGCGTTTGTCGGGGGCATATCCGAGACTGCCTGCTGACCGTGATATCTTTCCCACTCAGGCCGAAGGTGAGCTTTTTCTTCACCTGTGTCTTGAACAAATACCACCGGATCACCGGGACTCCATAGAGGGCAGTGCCTGGATAGGCCGAGTGTCCCCCCAGTGCGGAAAGGTCGGGGGTTCGCTTGGAGCGCCGAAAAGTGGATCGCTTAGAGCGCCGGAAAGTGGATCGCTTGGAACGCCGAAAAGTGACATAAGAGATACATAGCGCATCATAGCGCTAGAGTTCCATATATGCGCAGAGGCATTTAGACACATAAATGGATGCATTCATATGTCGCTGAAGCACGCGAGATCCGCTTTTCGGCATTACTTGACGAAGAAACGTATCAGGAACGTCTTGCAAGTTACTTGACGAAGATGTTACAACGTATCAGGAACAGCTGGCACGTTGCTTGAAGAAGAGTTTTTAACGTAGAAGGAACGTCTTGCAAGTTACTTCAAGAAGATGTTCCAACGTATCAGGAACATCTGGTAAGTTACTTGAAGAAGATGTTACGACGTATCAGGAACATCTTGCAAGTTACTTGACGAAGATGTTACAGCGTATCAGGAACGTCTTGCAAGTGACTTGACGAAGATGTTAGAACATATCAGGAACATCTTGCAAGTTACTTGACGAAGATGTTACGCCGTATCAGGAACGTCTTGCAAGTTACTTCAAGAAGATGATACAACGTATCAGGAACATCTTGCAAGTTACTTGACGAAGATGTTACGACGTAGCAGGAACGTCTTGCAAGTTACTTCAAGAAGATGTTACAACGTATCAGGAACATCTTGCAAGTCACTTGACGAAGATGTTACGACGTAGCAGGAACGTCTTGCCTGTGTGTGCACAGGAACATGAACGTTATTACCCCACCCCACCCCACCCCACCGGTAACTGATCATGAAAGAGCACTGCAGTGCCTGTGTCTGCAGGACAGCAAGAAAGATGATGAGGTTGCTGTGCCTGAGCCCATGTCCCAGCCCCGTGTCCCCAAGTGTTACCCTGAAGGTATGATTCTCTGGCGCCCTAAGTGATCCCATGGTGCTCTAAGTGATCTGGTGCGCTAAGTGATCCACTTTCCGGTGCTCTAAGTGATCCCTTAACCGTCCACCGAAGGCGGTGGGTGACCCTACGTCCTTGTGGTGTTCCATGTTGTTCCTGTCCCAAAATTGAATTCACAAATTGGAAAGCCCTATATTTGGTAAAAACCCATCGTGTGGAAGCGCTCCGCAACGGGAAGCGCTCAGCAACTCCAACAGTGGAAGCGCTCCGCAACTCAACACGGGTTGCAACAACGTCATGGATGGATGCCTTTGTGGATCGTTGCCTCTATCAGGCTACCACAACCAACTTACCCGGATCATGGGCAGACAGAGTGATTGGACTTTTGGCTCCCTTCGCCAAGGAGGTCCCCTACATGAGAGCTGTTCAAGGGGACAACACACACCAGGAATACCTGGACTTACTGGGTGATACCCGCTTTCGGACACTTCGCATTCATTGTCTCTGCTTTGAGAGTATCCAAAGGTTGGGTTTCAACTCCATCCCATGGAAAGAACATGACGTGAGACGCCTCCTCAACACACTCCTAGAGCAAGAGGTTACCCCACACAAGGTTGAGAAGGAGGGCCATCGTTGCCCTGCATAAGGTTGCAGCTGGCACCGACAAGCTCTCACCCAAGAAACTCATGGACCAGTACATCTGCACGATGGCCAGGTTTCAGGTGGCATGCAGTGCCGTTTTCAAGCATCTTCAGCAGACCAGCCCGGGGGTCTACAAGCTAACAGAGAAGACGCTGGAGCTGCAGGCATGGCAAACCAAGACTGTGAGCGCTCTCCGGATCAAGAAGAAAATGGTGCCTCTCATTGCACCGCTTTACTCCTTTTCCGGCATGGATTGGTGGACGGTGCTCATCCAGTCATGGGACCGTCTCATGGCCCATGAGAACTTCAACGACATGGACTACCTGATCTGAACGGTGAGTTCTGATTTCACGGGATTCATCCCGTGCCCAGGGCGGGCAGACAGAGAGACTTGAGATGGTTGAAAGGATGCCCTGCATCGGCATGGTTTGTGGAACCATCTCTCTTCCAGCGGTTGAGCTGGCGCAGCTTTCGGGCTCATCCCGCGGGCACCGACCATTCCTGAGAGGATGCCCCCTTGGCCGGGTGCCATCTTTCGGTGTGGCGTGGTGGTGTACGGGTTGGGTGGAAATGATGCGTGATACCACCACGGTTTTGGATATGGTTCCTGGAGGGAACCGACTGGTGATGCATGTGGCATCAAACTGAAAACCAGCCGCGCAGGCCAACTGCATAACAAAAGGTTAGTGCTGCTGCAGTTGCCTGCTTGGTGAAAACAATTTTCAATTCTATTCAGGAACGCGCAAACATATCATATCATATCATATCATATCATATATATATATCATTATAATATGTATATATATATATTAATATATATATATATCTCTCTCTACGTGTATATATATATAATATGTATATGTAATTGAATATGGATGAATATTACTTAGAATTCACCCGAGTTCATGGTAGATTTCATTGTTATCCGGCCTGCTACTCTGCAGGAGATCGGCCAGGGTCAGCCTTGTGAGGGCGACATTAGCCAAACAATGACGTGCAATGAACAACTTTGCCCAGTGGATTGCGTCATGACGAGCTGGAGCGAGGCTTTGCTATGAAAATCAAGAACCAGATGATCTAGTCATATCTGGTCATATCCCGTCAAACTTGTGAAACTTCTGCTTCTCTTTTTTCTAGCAGTAGATATGACTCTCAAATTGCCACGGTCCAAGGACTGGTCGCCATGTGAACCGTATTGCAACGGCACACAGACCAAAACCAGGGAGATAAAAACCCCAGCTGCCTTTGATGGTGAAGAATGTGGTCCGACCAAAGAGGAGCGTCGAGAGTCTGAAAGGTGGCTGCCAAGTGGCGGAGTTATGTTTTTCTGGATACCTTGGAACTTTGTATCAAGGAGTAAACGAGCACCTCTTGGATTATTTTTTCATATTAGTGCATTCCCAGCGTTGGTTCCGAAAAAGGATCCCCAGCCATAAGTATCCTCGAAAATCCTTGAAATATGTATCTGAAACAACTGAAACAAGTCCTCAAGTCAAACAACATCATGTCATTATTTTATTTTACTTTAATTATTCATTATTTTTTAAATCGAGTGTAAGTCTTGCATTTTTCAATCATTGGTAGAGAAACAAAAAATGGTCGCATCACATAACATTGCATAAAATGAACAATCTGTGCAGAAGCAATGGGAAGCGGCCTCGGGAACCTTGAAATCAGTATTTCATGGCAAATCAGAATATATAAGTGTTTTTTTTTTCAACTCTTCATTTTCAAACTAAATATTTTTTGAGGAAAATCCTCTCTTGTGCCTTCACTGGCCTAAACGTTTTGGATCGTATTGAAGGGTGTACAAGAGTAGACACCCCGCGAAACAACCCACCCATTTCTGCAATTTACGTGTTAGCTAGAGTGGCTAGACTGCATATATCCACAGCATATTTCGCTTTGGTTTTGCATTGTTTTGGTTTAGACTGTTTCAACCCTCCCCATGTCACATGCAGGAGCAGAACTGCACGAACTACTGCGTTGACTGCAACTTTTCATTTGCTTGGAATCACTCGTACTATTTTTTCGCTTTTTCCTTGTTGGCATTGTCACGCAGAAGTGATGCGAATGATGTATTGCTTGACTAGGATACACATGCACATTTCAGTTGCAACAAGATTGGGCAACTTTCCAGCCAAACGTTTGGATTACTTCCTTCACTGCTTAATTGGGGCTGTTCGCTCAAGGCAGTTGGACCGATTGGTCGCAATGGGACATTTGCAGCGTCTCTTGTGGTGGTGGCACTGTGTGGGCACCAAGATACAGATACAGAGAGCTAGCGGAAGTGGTGAGTGGTTGACGTTGGGAAACTGAATCTTTTCAAGACGATTATTCTTGCAGTGCCAATTTCGGGAGTACAACAAGGAAAAGTGGTCTTCCAGCCAAGACCCCATCAAAACCATCAAGCCGTTTTTTTATGAGTGCTTTGAGAGCAAACCAATGTCCTTTGTTCTCGGTTTTGAGCACAAAGGGAAACAGAGCAGGATGGATTGCACGGAAAATGACAGAGACTCCAAGAAGCTTTAAGAAGTAACAAGAAGATATTATGATAGTTTTATAATATAAGAAATGTTGAGATTGTTGAGGCTACAAATGGCTCCAATAACAAGTCAACCAATTTGACGATGACTTCGCTTCCTCGGGCAGGCGCGAAGAAGCCGCAAGATCAACGAACTGAAGCAAGGAGGTGGAGCGCAATGCCGTGGGGAAAGCGAGGAGTCACAGCCATGCAACGCGCAGGAGACACGTTTTGGAAATGGCATGAAATGGTCAGATGATGCCAGATGACCATGGTCATGGCCAGCCAAGCTCCCACCAATTGAAGATACCATTCGCAGAGAAGGTGTACGTAGGGATTGTAGGCCACTATAGGGCCAGAATGCAGGAAAAGGTGTGGTGCTTGTAATAAGCTGGGGATCAGATAGGAGATTTGTGATGGGAAGCCGAACTCAATCGACCAGTACAAAGTATACCACAAGATTCTGGGCACCACTCGCATGAAGCGAAGAGTCAAAGAACTGCGTGCAGCACGGTCCCAGATGGCTCCAAATCATAGGAGGTTCAGGCATGTTGAGGCAGTGTTTCTGCTTCATGCCTTTCATGGTCGAAACGGATCAAAAAGGAGGCTGAAGGCTGACATCTGCTGAAACTCAAATCTTCCTACCGTTAAATCCATCGCAGGAGTGTCCCATTGACTGTGAATTCTCCTCCTGGGGCGATTGGTCCTCTTGTGAGCCCTACTGCAAAGGCTGGCATCGGGCAGCACCAATGGCAGCTGAAATACCAACAGCCATGGTCCTCCCCTACAAGTACTGTTTTGTGTCATGTAAATTCATTTTTTTTGGGTTTTGGCTAAATAAATTTGAGTGATGCGAAGTTTTGTCATGCTTTGCCTAGGGGCCTAGATGCCACTTAGCTCTTATATCATCTTATATCAAATATGTATCTTCTGAAAATCTCTGTGTCACTTACCAGCGACGCCAGGCGGTCAGGAGCGTCATCGAGAAGTCACCAGGGAACCCGCTTTTGGTGGTAAGAGCTGTTGCTCGGCTGGGGAAAACCTGGGACGGGCAACAAAGACGAACAAATGGCATGATGCTTCACAGGTCAGATATGGTATGGTGTTTCAGCTTGCCAGTGGACTTATCATAAGTTGGCTTCAAGTTAGATAATCCGTTCGTTTCCACTAGTACACGAACTTCAAGCAAAAGAGATTTGTGTGCAAAATGCAGCGGCCACGTCGTCCTTTTGGGGAACAACTTCTGTGCAACACCTGAAATCTGAACTGCAGGTTATGTCCTTGCTACCGAAGGGGCCCTGAGCAATGAGACCGTTGGAGTTACCTCCCAGATGCGACCCTGCTCCAATTGGTGCAACTGGGCTGCAATCGTCCGAGATAGCAACAGCATGCAACAGCCAAGTGTGAAGCCGTGCCAAGCGAAGCCTCAGGCAGAGACTGCAGCTGGTTGGACTGGACGCCATACTCGAGATGCTCTGCAAGTTGCGGAGGAGGTACCAAGTCGCGCTTCCGCGATCAGCTCTTCGTGCTGCAAAGCAAGAAGTCAGGCCTTGATATTTGACACTGTGAGATCCGTGAGATTTCATAGGAAACTGGAAGAGATACCCGACCAGGTGTTGATTGATTAAATAGTCAGTTCTGAAAGAAGGCTTTTTAGCAAGTTGTACTTGCAAGCTTTTTTTTAGTGGGTGAGACGTGGGTGCCACGCAAATTATTTGAAAGAGGGTGCAACTGTAATATGCATGGAACATGGAGTAAATTGGTTCTGCTTCAAGTCAACATCTCTTTCTGGGTGTCACATGTTTGCCCGGTTGACGTTTAATTATGTTACAAATTGTGTTGGAAACTGTCCTGTTCGCCAAGGTTTCACTCCCAAATGCAGTGAAGCTGAAGTTGCGTACTGGCCAAACTAAACCCAAAGCTGTAAAACTCAGAAGAGAATGACTCACAATGACCTGATCCAATTGTGCCCCAATCAGACATGGTGACATGGTCCAACTCCCCACTGACTTGGCTCTACTTGGCCCATATTTTGGAGGCTTTGAAGCAGCTTCTAGCAATGCGGTTTATGGCTACGAGCTGAAGATGAACCTCAAATGCGACGCTTCGAGCATCCCAGCTGCACGGGATGTTGGCTCCTTGTAAAGACGAAGGATTTCAAACACGTCAAAAACAGGAGATTTATGTCATGGTTCCACCGCCTTTTGACTCCGACCCAACGGGACCCCCTGTCGTCCGAGGCATGCGCAAAGAAATCATGACGCTTCAAGCAGCAAGGGAGAAATGCAATGCCGACCCTGATTGTGGAGGAGCGTTCCAACAATGGCCTGGGTGGATAGCTGTGACAGCTTTGATAGCTAGGGCTTAGCTAGGACATCTCTAAAATATTTCAAGAGTCATGTAACACATGTAGCATCCCATGTATATGATGTCATCATGATGTCATCTACACCCACTTGGCTCAAGAGTGAACCCAGGGTGATTTCTCCAATGAGATAATACAGTCAACTGTAGCATCTTGCCATGGCTCTTCAATTTTCAACACCTAGCCATGGCGCATATGCCCAGAGAATTCCATCTCTGCACGTCGACCCTGTCGACCAAAGAATTGTGAGATCAAGGTCTTCACGTGGCACTGCCAGCACCGTGTCTATCGCCGCTATCACCTTTGCATTGGGCTACAGCCTTCGCATAGGCCGAGCTAGTCAGCTCCGCAGATGTGCAAAGAAGCAAAAAAGAGGCGGGGCGCAGCCCACTTCACCGAAAAATGGCCTTGATTGTTTCTTTGATTATATCTTCTAACTTTTAACGTCTACCATTCAAATTCCCTGTATCATTCACACTTTTTCGGTCGAAAACAATGAAGAAATTGATGGAAAACATGGAAAAACATCATCCTGGATGCTGTGGGACTTCCCCGAAAGGCAAGGGAAAGAAAGCCGAAGTGGTCGCGGTCGAGGAACCAGAAGACCTCATTCTGCCACACGAGGGCATGACACTTGGAGAGCTGGCAGACAAGATCAACAAGCCCGTTGCAATGATCATTACATATTTTTTTGCTGAAAAGGGCAAGCCGCTTACAATCAATGATATTTTGGAGAAAGAAATGATCGAAGAGGTTTGTGACAAATTTGAACTGGAATATATTTTTGATGACGAGAAAACTACGACTGCCGGGGACCGGGGTTTCTTGGCAGAACAAAAAGAAGGCGAGAATCTGGAGTCCCGCCCACCAGTGGTCACTGTCATGGGTCACGTTGATCACGGAAAGACCACACTCCTTGACACGCTGCGAAAGAGAAGTGTGGCCGCTGGGGAGGCCGGTGGAATTACCCAGAGGATTGGTGCATACACCGTCGAGTTAAATGGGCAACAAATTACGTTTATTGATACACCTGGACACGAAGCCTTTACAGCAATGAGAGCAAGAGGCGCGGCGCGGGGCCTGAGCAAAGTTCAAGTGCAGGGCGGACAAACACCTGCATTTGAATTCATTTCATATACAGTATATTGTAATTATTTGATATTATTAATCTGTCGAGGCCTAGGTGGCTTAACGCCGATGATTAGATACCTTGCCATGGCTGTGCAATTTTCATTTTCAGCACCCACCTGTACCTCCCTTCTCTGAATTGTTTTTGGGTTTAAGTCACCCTTTGGTGCTTGAGTTTCAGCATGGACAAACCACAGCAAGCTCTAGATCTGACACGATTTCTTTGGGTGCAAGCCAGACAAGAATAGGAGCATGGAGAAACTACTGTATGTGTTATGAAACTATGTCATCTATATCGTCAAAGATTGTCCAGCAAAACTCGGTGCCACTTTGCAAATAATCAAGCGTCATAGTCGCTTAGCCATGAACGTAAAGTGTGGATGAACCTGTGGCTGCTCAAACTGCTAGCAGGTGCACAAGTAACTGATATCGCAGTTCTGGTGGTCGCTGCTGACGATGGGGTCATGCCACAGACGCGCGAAGCCATTGCACATGCGAAAGCTGCAGAAGTCCCCATCATTGTCGCCATCAACAAAATCGACAAAGCCACTCGGGGTCCTAAGAAAACATGTTTCAGAATGTCTCATCACTGATACGGTTCGTGTTAAACTCTTGTGTTCGCATTCTTTGAATGTGATGGCTCTTCACCGCACCAACTCATAAAAGACAGTCTCTGCTTTTTCATTTACTGGACTTTTTGGCAATCTTTGCCCATAGGACAATAAAGGCAGATCTGTGTTGTGGATTCTAAATCCCCCAATATAGCGATAGCTTGGGGCTGTTAATTCTAAAGGCCGACAGGCGCCGTCGGGTTCCCGGCTGCCGGCCTGGGCGGGATGTGTCCTGGTGGTGACTCGGTGGTGACTCAGTGGTGACTCGGTGGTCTCTCGGTTGTGTCTTGCAGGCGTCATGCTGACGTCATGCTGACGTCATGCTGGCGTCTTGCAGTTCGCTAGGGTTTACATGCGTTCATCATGAATTGATAGAAAAGGAAACATGAAACCTTGCTATTGGGGTTGTATGCTGGGTTAATTTCCCAGATGTATTTGTTTGCTTTACATTGGGTGACATCTTTGTCTGGTGATCCTCAAATCAGGACGGTGCAGATCCTCAGCAAACTCGGCAAATGCTTTCTGAAGAGGGCTTATTGGCAGAAGACTGGGGTGGTGACATCCCCATGGTCGAAGTCAGTGCCAAAAAGAACATTAACCTCGATGCTTGACTCATTTGGCCTCAAGACAATACATGACATAAATGTGACATATTATTTGATTCATTTGATTTTTCCTGACTTTGCTCTGAGCTTTTTGCACTTGGTCTTTGGATTCATGGCATATTTTTGGTCTCCGACTTTTCACGACAGAGGCAGACCTCGTCAGAGTACACCCAAACATCACGCAAACATCACCCAAACATGGTGAGGCAGGAATTTAATGATCATCCGGACACGACACCTGACATGACACCTGGCACGTTGTACCCTTGGCAAAGGATGACTTGCTGGAGATTCTTAACCTGACTGCAGAAATCTCCGAGCTGAAGGCGGTGAGAAAAGGTAGAGGTGCAGGTGCGCCTGACCCTTCTCCCTTTGTGGGTTTTTATGATTTTTTATGTATATATGCTTATATTATATAAATTATATAAGCTTATATCAATGGGTGACAAAAAATCTTCAATTTTGAGGTATTAGTTCCCATAGAAGTTCTGTGGGATATCTTGTGCAGGTGTGGTTCTTGAATCCACCTTCGATGCAACGCGGGGGAGCCTTGCCACTCTGCTGGTACAGCGTGGAACCCTCAAAAAGGGCGACTACGCAGTGTCAGGGACAAAATTCTGCAGGGTGAGGCAGGAGCCAAGCTGTTTCATGTCTCACCACTCCCATCGACTGAATTTGGCTTCGTTTCTGGAGCTGGACACATGTCACATGTCCAGTTCCTGTGTTGTTGCTTGTTGATTTCTGACGTTATTTCTCCCATGTTTTCATGCAGATTTTCGTGTTTTTTGGTTCTGATGTGGTGAGATCCGTTTTTGCCAGGCTCATGGAAAACGAGGCTGGTGCGGAGGTGCAGGAGGCTGGTCCATCAATGGCTTGTCAGGTCACGGGCTTCCAAGACTCACCACAGGCGCCCCTTGGGCCTGCAGAGACGAGTCAACCTGAGTGAAGAAACATCTTCAATTCCTATATCATTTCTCTATATTATGGTGGGAAGAGATCTGACCTTGTGTACCAGCAGGTCGATTTAGATCTTGAAATCAAGAGCGGAAGCCTGATATACTAATGTATACGAATAATTGTTCCAACTTCCATGGTCCATAGTTGTGAGGCGGTTTCACTTTTTTGATCTCCGTGGTTGACCCGTGTGACGGATGATTGTGGATGTTGATACAATGTGGTATATATATTATATATAATTATATTATATATATACACCTATATACATATTTATATACAGTAATCATAAGTACATGAATCATGCGTTTACATGGTGTTTTGATATCGAACTATATCGTTTTGTTAATACTTTTCCATAGTTTGAAACCATTGGGGTGACTTGCGTTCTCATGGTGTTTTGCACATTTGGGATGGTTTTTTTTTTTGTACTCTTTCATTTTTGTGCCGCGTTTACAATGGGCGAAGAAGTTGGGGTGACTTTTCCTAGCAGTTGGGGGGCATAGTTCCATGCGGGAATGACAGTTGACTGCAACGTTGGGGGACCTTCGCCGGCATTGTGTATAGAGAAAGATAGAAAGACATTTTATTTCTGATGGATGGTGATGGCAGGCCGGTGACCAGTTTGAAGTCTACCCCACGGCGCAAGAAGCTCGAGCAGTGGCAGAGAAACGCGCCAAAGAGTCGACGCGGGGGCCGCTGGGCTTCGTGGGCCTTGGCTCTGCAGCCTGGCTACGAAAAAAATGTATATAATCCCTTTAAAACATATTTGGCAAATGGAGCATTTCGGACTTCGGATGTTTACCTGTAGCAAATTTTTGGGTGTAGCACATTTGAAGCTCCTTGAGAAGAGACGAAGGGATGTCACCCTCTCAGGAGAGCGATCAAACCATGCGCCTGGCACTGATTTTGAAGACCGATGCGCAGGGCAGCATCGCAGCTGTGAAGCACATGTTCTCAGAAGTGACGCTCGTCTGCATGGGTTTTCAGCAGACATACTGGGAAAAAAATATACACAATGGCGTAGAGAGATATATTATGGACCTGACATCGGCTCCCATTTTTGTGGAGTCTTCCTCAAATTTGCAGGTTTGCTCTTATGTCTCAGGAACCCACCTTTTCAAATCTTTCCTGGTCTTAGGAGAGACTCAAAGTACGTGAACTTGAGATGGGTCTTGGCAGCTCCCGGTCCAATTTCGGACTCCGATATTGAGCTGGCGTCCACTTGTCCTGAAGGTCAACGTGTGATGATCTTGGGATTCAACACTCAGGTGTCTCCCACTGCAGAAAGAACTGCCAAGGACAGCGTGGGAGGCAGGGATGAGCCAAGAGCCTTTGAACCCACAACTTTTTTGCTTTGCCTGACTTCCTGAGCTCACAATGCTCACAGCTTGATGTTCACTTTCTATGCTCTGATTTCTGAATATTACTGATTGGTTGTACTGCACTGAGCAGGTTGATATTCACCCCGCTTCGCGTGGGGTGGCCGCCCACACCGCAGGTTTATTTCCGTCCGTGAGAGGGGCGAAGGGTGGTTTTCCCCCGTGGGGGCTCCCCAAGCTAAGAATTTTCACTTTCCCCCCCGTGGGGGCTCCCCAAGCTAGGGAATTTTCACTTTTCCCCCCCGTGGGGGCTCCCCAAGCTAGGGAATTTTCACTTTTCCCCCCCGTGGGGGCTCCCCAAGCTAGGGAATTTTCACTTTTCCCCCCCGTGGGGGCTCCCCAAGCTAGGGAATTTTCACTTTTCCCCCCCGTGGGGGCTCCCCAAGCTAGGGAATTTTCACTTTTCCCCCCCGTGGGGGCTTCCCAAGCTAGGGAATTTTCACTTTTCTTTCCCAAGCTAGGGAATTTTCACTTTTCCCCGCCGTGACAGCTTCCCAAGCTATGGAATTTTCACTTTTCCCTCCCTTGGAGGCTCTCCAAGCTGCGGAATTTCAAATAGCTAGACAACGACGCCTAGATAGTCCCCCAAATCCCGTGTTCTTTGAATGTGTTTCCATGTTTTTGCAATGGTTTCCTTCAAAGCACGGTACTTTACACTTTTGTCGCCATAAAACCGGTCGAAAACATCATGTTCGACAATGCTTCCAATTCCCTTATCTCCCCAACCGTTGAAAATACCGCTATTTACAGTGTTTTCTTCAATTTTTCCATGTGCCAATGCCGGTAGCCAACTCCAACATATATATAAGAAATCCTTCCAAAACATTGTTTTTGACAGTGTTTTTCCAATGTTTCCAGTCAAACAGACGGTAATTTACACGTTTTTTGCCATAAAGGCAGTAAATCCTTCCAAAACATTGCTTTTGACAGTGTTTTTGTAATGTTTCCAGTCAAGCATACGGTAATTTACACGTTTTTTGCTATAACGTCAGTCCAAAACACTTGTTTTTGCAGTGTTTTCAATGCTCTGGCATCCAAAAACCCTGCAAAATCTTGCTATGTACAATGTTTTTTTCATTTTTGGCCGTTTTTCCATTGCCGGAAAGCTACCAAAATGACCCAAAATTCCATTTCAATACCCTCTTGCGCTCAGACACCCAAAAATCCTCGAAAAATGTCGAAAACACCACCGTATTCTGGTCTCGGTGCGAAACCGTTTTTGGGCCCCCCCCGCCTTCACCGCCAAAGCGGTGTGGGCGGATTTTTATATTTTTTGCGTTCTTTGTCCAGGAGCGTGGCATCGAAATCCAGAACTTCAAGGTGATCTATGAGCTCTACGACACCGTGGTAGCAGCTTTGGAGAGCGACCTGGACCAAGAGGAGGAGTTGACGGAGCAAGGTGTCGCCGAAGTCAAGGCTGTCTTCAACGGTCGTGATGGGAAGGTGGCTGGGTCCGAAATCCTCGAGGGAACGTTTCTTGGCTCGTGCAATCTTGTGCAGATTTCTACAAGCTTAGAATAGATTAGGTTCAAAATTATTCAAATTCAGCATTTGATCTTCTGGGAAGCGCCTTGGTGAAGGTATGCATCTTCGTGCTGTGTTCTGGCATTCAGCTAAAATCGTTTCAACTTCATGTTCTTGCGAGGTTCACCGTTGGACAGCGAGTTCATTGCATTCGCAAGGGCACAAAGGTGGGCGAGGGCAAGATCCGATCCATTCGAAGGTTCAAAGAAGAAGTGCGAGTTCCTTGGATGCGGACCTTGTCATAACTTGTCGTGTTTTTCGATTTTGAAGGTGCCCTGGATTCTGGCTCGCAGCTTCTTGATGCAGCTGGCTGGTATAATTTAATATATAGATGTTCCCACTGTATACGTGTACTACAATTTAACACATACTACCCAAGCAGAAGAAATGGCATGGATGACACGTGAGCTCACGTTAAGTTTTCAATCCTGAGACTCCACCAAGAGGTTAGTCGGTTGGGCAAGGAATCTTGAGGTCTGGTTTTTTCTTCCACAGACATTTTGGTGATTCTGTGTGACTTTGGATCTTGCCTCCAACCTCAATTTAGGACATTGACGAAGGAAATGAGTGCGGAATCAGCCTCGATGGGTTTGATGACTGGGAGGCAGGCGACGAAGCGCGATGCTTCGAAGTGAAACTGGTCTCGCCGGAGCTGGTCTCTAAGAAGTAGATTCAGGCGGCGAGGCAAGTAGCCTGTTGCGCCTTGACGGAAGGGCCAAAGGCCAAAGCAGCTAACTGTTTGAAGGATACAGATCCGTCACTTCGCTGAGTGCGTCCGTGATGGGCCGCCTGTGGCATATACATACATGTATAAGTTCTGTATAATAGTATAAGGTAATATTTGATATAACATATATGATAAATATGACACAAAACTAACTGTTTAAAGAAAATTAAAATTTACTGTAATCATAGCATGGCACTAGACCGTGGATTGTTTTACATTCTTTCTTGATGCAGGCACTGTTACTGGCGGACTCTCACATATAGATTTTGCAAGGTCAAGTTTGCTGGACACTTGATTTGAACACAGCAAATGCCAGTCTTTGCGATGAGGACTGCTAATATTTTCTTGACATAGGATCACAATGGATTAAAGTAATTTGAGGCACAGGCAAAGCCGCCTCGGAGGCAATTTTCACAGGGCACAATGCTCACCCTTGGTACCTTAAAAAGATAGATACCCAGCGGCTCGCAGCTTGAGAAAGGATGAGCGTTCACAGCTGTTACTGTTTCCGTGTAGGGCTAGACTCAAATAGAGGGAAAGAACTCGCTCTTCTCGCGTTCTTGCTGGCTGCCTGCTTGGTTGATGTGCTGGATTGAATGAAATTTGTCCTAGTGTGTCAGTATGTTGATGTTTTGTCAACTCAACATGTTATTGAAACTTGAGGAAGCTAAGCAAGACGGTAACCCTCACCCTGTTTGTATTGGTATCTCTATGAAGGACATCACTCGGGTAAAAATTACTGCAGGTCCATATCAGAGCATGCCAAGGTGGACATGGTGACGATTTCTTCTAAATCTGCTAAGTCTAATTAAGTGGCTAGTTGCTACAACATGCTACAACATGCTACAACGTGCTATAACGTGCTACAACTACACGAACCTCTGCTTATCGCTTGCAACTTCCGTCGAAGGAGTCTATGACGAGGGCTGCGATGGCTCTGTAGCACTGTGCGAAGTCAATTTCAACCTTGAAGCGGAAGAAGGTGGTGAGAACGGTGAGAAGTGCTACGAAGGGCTGAAAACTTCCGAACGTGTTGCCAAATTCTTCGCAAATTCTTGCCAAATTCTCCTTGCCAATCTTGCCAATCTTGCCAATCTTGCCAATCTTGCCAATCTTGCCACTCATATCAGTTGAAGTAGCTTTGCAGCAGGGCTTAGGGCAGGAAGACATGCGTTTTGATCATTTTTGATCTTTGGATTTTGCTAGCTGGACCGGTTGGCACAGGCTCGTGCATCCGGACAAAATTGGAGATGGGCAAAGGAACCGACTGTGAAGAGATCGACAACAAAGAAACTCAGAACTGCGGCACTGCCAGCTGCCCCATCGAATGCGAGTGCCCCAAATTTGTCGGCAGATGAGTTACGGCAGGTTAGTTGCTGTAATGTTAGATACGGTTAGTTTCTATGATTTTGACCAAGCCTCCTTCGCACACTTCAAGGTTCGTAGCGAAAGTGAAACATTGCGAAACCATATCATTTAGTGATCGGTGACCAGTGGCGACCGACAGGTACAGCGACTGGACCGCTTGGTCGCCTTGTGAGCCCTTCTGCAATGGCACCCAAACTCGGAGTCGGGCCATCATTACCGAGTCACCAGATGGGCCCTGCCTTGACACCTCTGAGTCACAAGAGTGCAGCAACCTGTGCACGGATTGCAGGCCTTTCGGGGTGCCACTCACACTTGAGTTGGGAAATGAAAATAGAATGTGTAGAGAATCCGTGGGCACACATGGAATGTAACGTGCAAACCTCAAGTCCAAACAATCATATAAACGATATAAACGAGGGCTTTTTACTGGCAGTTCAACCTGAACCATTTTCATGGAGAAAGCCATCTACCTCATCTATATATCTATTATATCTTCATCATTCTTCATCATTCCCTGACACCCTCAACCTTTGAGCATTTTGAGCGTGAAGGTGGTCTGATTGGGAAAAGTGGAGCCCTTGCAGTGTCTCCTGCAATGGGGGCTCCCAGATGCGGAAACGTGAGAAGGCTGTGGAACAGGCAGGAAGAGGCGGGGTTGCAGAGCTGCATTTGAATATGTTCCATTTGGTGTTCACAGTCGCCATGCTCACCAATCTGTTTCGCAGCCGTACATATTTTAGAACCAGTGATGCAGCTTTGCCAAAGGAAAAGACTGCGTCGGCAACAGCACGGAATCCAAAGGTTGCGGGGATCTGAACCTTGGCACATCAAAATCATACGCTTTTCATCCGGTTCACGATAGAGGTCGCTGAGCTCTGTACGTGCTGGTGCACTTCTCTTTGCGTCGATCTACATGTTGCTAATTGTCTTCCCAGGTAATATTTGGCCTGGCTTCCTTAGGCTTCTCTGCAAGTTTTTGGACCTGACTAGTTCTGTATGTAACATTTTGATACGCTCGCCATTGCTTGCCTATTTCTACCCACCTTTGCCCACTGAGGAACTGCCCTCAAGACTGCGAGATGTCTGACTGGACGGCCTGGTCCACATGTGAGCCTTTCTGCAGTGGGAAGCAGGAGAGGAGCCGCAAAATCCTGAAAACAGCCAGGCAGCGGCACTCCGTATTCAGAACATGAGTTGGATCGGGAAGTGACTGGAATTTGGACGTCTTCAAGAGAGCAGGATATTTTTACTTGCAGGGTCTATGCAGCAGTTGTAGCATATGCAAACGCATCCAATGCCAAAAGACCTTCCTCAATTGCCGGTTTATGATTTGCCGTGAATCATGTCAACTTTCAAAAAAATGGTGCAGGTTTGGTGGTGCTACATGTGGTGAACCTGCTGAGCAAAGAGAGTGCCTTGACCAATGCATGCTATGACAAAGTACACTTGAGCTATGCTAGTAGGATACCTAGCACAAGTTGGGGGTGCGGTGCGCTACAGTATCTGTATGCTTATGGATTTTATGGACTTTTATACTTTTGTGGATTATATATATTTGTGATGAGTCCGAGACAGATGCGGCCAACAGATAGGTTGGGGCCTTTATTCACCGCCTCAATGTATGAAAGTTTCGTATTTTCATTTGTTCCCCCTGGTTTTGATGATCACAACGCATGAGTTCCCCGCTCACTAGGCCCGTGCACCCTTATGCTTGTGTTTCGGCCACACCAAGGTGTGCAAATGTCTGTATGGACTGCGTGCTCTCAGGATGGGCTGCTGGGGCCTCAGCACCAAGCTGGCCTAGCGCAATTCGATGCAATTCGTTTGACGTAGCTTGCCACTCGTGTAGCTTGTTGATCTCTCATCAGCGGTAGCAGAAATAATGGCGATGACTGGTATCAAATTGAATGAATTGGACAAGTTTCAATAGCTTCCAGATCACTTCAATCTGTCACACTAATTTTGATACCAAATCGACATCCCCTTCTACTTCTGCCTCGAGGAATGGACAGTCTGCAGTTCAAGTTGCGGAAGTGGCAGCAGACAACGTTTGAGGACTGAGAGCTATACCCAGAGGCAGGAAGTGTGGACAGTTTTTGGTGCGAAGTGGAAGCTTCAATATGAGCCTTTTGCAAGTCTGACAGTCTGACCTCTGCAAACAAAAGGAATTGAACAGAAAACTATTCATTTATTGATATTTTTTGCATTATATAAACAAGAACAACTTCAAAGTCAACGGGTGTCTTGGGCGTATGCAGTGTGGATCGCTTTCGTCAGTCTCCGATAGAGTTTGGCGACTTATTTCACTGCAATTTTGGGTGGGGAAATTAGCGATTTGTCATTCCCTTGCTGAGCCACCGTTTCGTTTCCGCCTGCTTCACTGGACACCTAACCTTGAAATTGCTAGGAACAAGACAATCTCCAAGAGCGCAGTCTCTTTGCTGGAAATGGCTTCCCAGGCAGCTGGCTCATGGGATATGACACGGGTTTCAAGGCTCTCTTTCAAACCACGCAAGCAAATGACATACAGTTCCTTCAGGCTAGAGTTCGACACTATGCCCAAATTTCAAAACGGGGCTGAAAGTTCGGGTTGTTGGCAATGACCCAAACCATGAAGCACCAGAGCCAAGCACCGGATTCGCACTTGAAAGAAGGGATGGTTGTGACTTGTCTACTTGCTACAAGTTGGAAGATCAAGGATGACAAGGGCCATTGATTTGATTATTAACTACTACTAGCAAGACACCAGTCTGTGGCAGTTCAGAGCCCAGTCGCAGGCTGTGGGATATGAGAAGAAGATGGCTGTGAAGTGCGACGAGGTGGGCCTTTGGCACAGTCAGAACAGGTGCATTGTCAGACTGCCGTGCCATGCCGTGCCGCCAGGAGCACCAGAGGAAGGTGGACGCGGCAGCTCCCCTGGCAGCTCAGGAAGCATGCAACAACGATGAGAAGTGCGGAGGCCTCTACGACAAGGGCGCCTCGGCATGGTGTTGACATTTTTCTGCATGGCAAAATGGCGCAGGAGTGTGTGCATAAGTCATATAAGTCGAACCGAGGTTGCAAGAACTTCTGGGCTATTTGCGACACTGGATTCATTTTGGAGGAGGAGGTGGGATCGTGCTCCTACATCAAGAAGGAGTGGAGTCGCTGAGTTAGTCTTTCGGTGCGTTTTCGTGTCTTCCTCCGCTTGTGCTACGTAAGCCACGAAATTCTTTTCCAATAAACTTCAATAAAGTCTGATTTTGCTGGTGTCGATGCATTCCGTGAGGAGATTGGAGCTGGAGAATCCTGTGACGGAAATATTGCGCAGGAGGAGGACATGGTCAGAAGAGCTGTGTACAAGACCGCAGCAACCACAATACAATACAAATGCATGACACTTGCTCATTGACGGACTGATCCAGAAACTGATCGGCAGACAGACTGATTGACCCTGCTTTGCTTTACTTTACACGCTTGCTTGCTTGGCTTCTAGCTTCGAGCGTCCTCCATGCTTGTTTGCTTGCTTGCTTGCTTGCTTGCTTGCATGCTTGATGACCTTACTGTTATATAATTATCTTAGGATTTCTCGCTTTCTCACTCACTTGCTCACCTACTTCCTCGCGTGACTGCCTCTAATGGCAGCAGCAGACGTGTTGACTTACTCCTTCACTGAGTCAACATACTTGATCTTGCTTGCAACTCTCCTTCTATTTCTCCAAGAGTTGCTGCTTGCTTACTTACTCGCGAGGTCAGTTGAGCAGGCATCATGATTCCCAAACGTTTTTCTTGAGTTGTACACTTCAGAGAATACAGAGGATGGGAGAGATAGAATTTGAGATCCCAGCATCTTGTCCAGGACTGCAATGACCAAGACTGCCCAATTGATTGCAACTACACAGAATGGACAGCGTGGTCAGCCTGCGAGCCAGCGTGCTCAGGGATCACAAACAGGTGGGACATGGTGGGACCAACGGAGGGACTTTGGAATTTCAATGGACCGATGTGGCTTCTAGTGGCTTCTAGCGGGCAGGAGTCGAACTATCATCCAGGAGCCGCAGCATGGTGGAGAGGCAAGCCCTTTTCCTTCATATCCTTTATATATATATAGATTATATATATATATATATCCTTTTATATCCTTTTATTCATTCTTATTTTGTTTTGCGACCTGGCCGCCATGGCCCAGTGGCCCGTGTGACAGCAAGCTCCGCTCTGATTGAAGTGTAGCACTTGGTTTCAATGATATATATATATACACAATATACATATATATATATACATACATATATATATACATATATATACATATATATATATATACATATATATATATATACATATATATATATACATATATATATATATTATTCATAATTTATATAGATGGCTTGACAGCCAGAAAAACCTGGCTTTGGGCCACGTGAAAGGCATGTGGAAAGATTGCAGAGGTGACCAACTGTTCCAACACCTGCTGCTTGGCTTCGGCTGAAATGCCTGCCTTGGGCCCTTTGGGCCCTTGGGGTGTTGGGGGGGTGTTGGGGCGAACGTGCCTCGGAGAACACCTGCTACTGAGGTGTGGACTGCGAATACTATGCTTGGGGTCCCTGGGAGGATTGCACAGCGTCAGGGTGCTCAGCACAAGTCTGGAGACTGGGAGAGGTTGCTGGGTTTGGAATCAGTCTGATGAATCAGTTCAACGATTTCTGCCACAAGTCCTCATGACCCCTCAACCTCCGTTGCTGACCTTTATGGTATATTGGCATTTAGACACTCAGGGTTTCCCTGGGAGTGGAGGAACACGTGGGGATTTGTAGACCTACGATTAACAGGTACTACCTCCTTTTGATACTGAAGATGGTGTCGCACCAAGGTCATGTGGTGGTGGCACTCGTGTGCGAGCGAGAGAAATTGCCGTTGCTTGGCGACCGAATTCTGGCAACAGAAAAAACTAGTTTCAAACTTGCTGATCGATCTTGCATGTTTGCTTTTTTTCATCTTTTTTCCTCGAAAATATTGGGCATTTGGCAGAATTCCATGGATTCCATGGATTATGAGCCATTATTAATGAGTACAGCAGCAGACTTTGGCGTGATGATGGGAGCCACTGCTCAGGTTCAACAAGAAGGTGGTGGACGCCCTTGTCCAGGCAATGCGACAGAGGCACAGCGGCCCTGTGTTTGGTAACCAGCTCCTTTCTTTTGGCCACGAGATGTTTGGAATGATGTGTGAATTATCTCAAGAAGAAAGTAATATAAATATATTATATAATATATATATATATGTGATATAATATATATATATATACAACTGCAGTCTGCGGTAGATTTTTTCCCCATGGCCTTTGGCTCTCGCCTGGCGGAAGAAAATGGAACCGTCAACACCCAAACAACTTGGATTGGGTCGTATCTCCAAGCGTTGGGAGCACAGGTGGAAGCATGTGAGACAGAGAGACTTGGCTGAATTAGGGGTATTTGCGGTTTGTTTCCTGGCAGCATCGCTATGCGTGGGTTTCTGCTCATACGAAGAAGAAGAAGAAGAAGAAGAAGAAGAAGAATGAGAAGAAGAATCATGAGAAAAAGAAGACAAATAAGAATAAGAGGAATAACAGAAGTAAGAGGAAGAAGAGGGATAAGAGGAATAGGAGGAAGAAGAGGAAGAAGAAGAGGAAGAAGAAGAGGAATAAGAGGAACAGGGGAAATAAGAGGAAGAAGAGGAAGAAGAGGAAGAAAAGGAGAAGAAGAAGAAGGAGGAGGAGATGATGATGATGATGATGATGATGATGATGATGATGATGATGATGATGAAGTCTTACGTTTGGCTGGAGGGATGTGTAGAGCGAAAGGTGGACTGGTGGCGGGTGAGGGGCCAGGGCGATGCGCCCAAGGATCGAATGCCCTATCGATTGCAAGCTCTCTGATTGGGAAGCTTGGACTCCTTGCAACCCCTATTGTCAGGGAGACCAGCAGAGGACATGGACATGGAGAGACTTTGTTCTTTGGAAAACTGTGAAATGAAGGATGCATGGCGTGCCAAGGCAGTGCAGGATTAGTGTATTCCTCAAGTGCTCCCAGATGCATCGGCCAGTCTTCACTTTGATCCCAAAAGATCCAAGAGATCCGATTGGACACTGACAAAGCACCGCCAAATTCAAGGCACTGACACTGCTTGTTGCAGCGAAATGCAGCGAATGCAATGTGCACCGCCAGGAGTCGCAGCATCATCAGCCTGCCGTATGCCGGCGGAGTGGCATGTGGAGAGACGTCCCAGGTGCTGATTTAGCGCCTTGAGTGCCTCGTGTTTTGCAATTCCTGGAGTCCTAGAGTCCTGGAGCATTGATTTTAACTTTAATTTCAATCTGATTTCCTTATGTTTTGCACAAAGATGTGTGAAGCGTTGAAGTGATTGCTGTCTCACAATGTCTCAGACCTGTCTCGTGAAGGTTGTGAATTGCAGCAATGCCTGTGTTGATTGCGTGGTCACAGTGCGAGCCCTGTGGCGGGATGTTGGGACGGGATGAACACCACGGATCTTCGAGACCTTTGATCTTTGTGGATCCGTGGTGACATGTGGTGACCTTGTCGATTTTCTCAATGAGCTTCCATGGAACCCCAAAACATCCCAAAACGTGTGGATTTCCAGCTGAATATTGCAGCACGCCACAGGACTGGAGCGACTGGACTGAGTGTTCAGCCACTTGTGGTGGAGGCAGCAACTCCAGGTGCTGCAAAGATCTGCAAAATGTGTTGAAAGCGTGTTGACAGCGACAGCATGCGACAGCAACTGGCTCCGAATGGCTCCGAATCTGGGTGCAGTACTCCCAGTACGCAGTCTTGCAGGTCTCGAAGCATCATCGTTCATGCCTGCCTGCCATGTTTGCGCGTGGCTGAAACCTGATGAATTTTCCATTGGTTAACTGATGCCTTTGGAGCAAGTTATTTCCTTTTCCTATATCAATATATACAATAGATCATACATATTATATGCTATTTCTCCAGCCAGCCACAACCCCTGTTTCCATTTTGGGTCAGTTGAAGCGTGCCTGATTGTGCATAAAGGCAGCCAAAATCTACCGAAATGATTCGCCTTTCCTTTTGCCGATTCGCAGTTCTTCGATGGTACCGAGTAGCTCAGGCGCAAGGTGAGGGTGTCCTCCGCTGTCCTGACCAGCTCGAGCAGACAAAGGCGGGAGCGGTGTCGGGAGTTGTGTCATGTTGTGTCTTTGTGTGGTAAATTCAATCTATAACACAGGTATATATATATATACCAAGTAGATCATTACCTTCCTTTTCCCTGAGGAAGATGACAGGTGAGATATACCCAAAGATTGAAGGGCCATTTGTTGTCGAAAAGTGTTGCCGAGACAGGCTGATTTTTTGGTCGCAAATTTTGGGATGCCCTATCGAACGCTTGACTTGAAGATGATAGACAGATTGCAGGGGATGGTATTTGATAGACAGGTATTCTTTGGAAGCAATTTTACGCCTAAAAGAAGTTCCTACAATATCATATAATATCACACTATTCGGACCGACACTTTTGAAGTCAACTGATCAGCGGCACCATGCACCTGCGCTGGCAGGAAGACATGTGTGCTCCCATGGACTGCCCAGTGGATTGCCAGTGGGCTGCTGGAAACTCAGTGGACGTCGTGGTACTGTGGCTGATACTTCTCGCACATAGCCTCAGGACTGGACGCCTTGGGACGGTTGCACTGCTACCTGTGGAGAGTTTGTCCCTCAATGGTGAAAGCTTGAAACCAGCATGTGGACAGATTTGGACAGATCTTTATTTATATATATATATATTATATCATGAGTGCTCAGATTCACAGCAGAGACTTGATGGCATGAAGACACTTCAAATAGTCGCCACTGGCAGGGGGACACAGGATCGCACACGTGAAGAGGCCAGTCAACATGCGAATATTTCAGGGTTGCCAATGTGCCAACCATCGTCATCGTCATCCTCCTCATCCTCATCCTCCTCATCCTCATCCTCCTCATCCTCATCCTGCTCCTCATCCTCATCCTGCTCCTCATCCTCATCCTGCTCCTCCTCCTCCTCATCATCATCATCATCATCATCAGCAGCAGCAGCAGCAGCAAAGGAAATCATCTTAGTCTGTGAGCGCAGAATCAGCGATATCTTTGAGTGGGCTGTGGGCAGCAGCCAAACCCAATCACGGCCATTTCCTTTGCCCACTGAACCTTGACAGGCGATCACTCCAGCTGCTGGAGGCAACGGTCACATGGAATTGATGACACGAGCTTTGATTCATCGGGCTGTACAAAAAATCCAAATCATTGCAATGTAAGCCAAGTGGCAAAAAGATGCGGAGATTCTGACTTGTACAATTGGGAGAATACAATTGGATTTCAATTGGATTTCAATTGTTTTGATTAGGTTTGACCCAACTTTTTGTACCAACGCTTTCAATGTAACCATGGAAGTGATCTTTGCCATCATGGTACAGGTGCGCCATGCGAGGGCAGCAACCGAGAGTGGAAGGCCTGTGACCTCGAGCTCTGCCCCCTGGACTGCCCGAGTGACATCTTGGGACGGAAGTGCTGGGAGTTGTCCCGGTTCTAGGTTCGGGCCGGAGAGGTATCATACTGGGGTTACTGGGGACTGGATCATGCTCAAGAATGACGGGGCCCACGCTGTTTCTGCAAATCAATGCTGGCAGTTCGGAACAGCGCCCGGTGATACCCGGTGACTGTTGTACTTTGTAGTCTAGAAGAGTCTAAGTTGCTAGGCAACTTTCAGTGGCAAACTGTCACTGTCTGACTTCGATCCCAACGTCCTGAGACATGTTGCATGGTGTTGCCGTGCTGGTGCAAGCAAAATTTCTGTGACCGAAGGAGTCTAAACGGGGGCCTTTGATGGAATCGATTTGAAGCTGCTATGACACTGCTTAATGTCTTGGCATTGCTCCTTGCTCGGCTCAAAATCCTATCATTGCAGTGGAGCTCCAAGGTTCTTGCATAGAAGAGTGGAGCCTCTCGATTCTGCCTCAAACAACGCAGGCAAATAATGTTAGGCAAGTTGCGCACAATGTCAACCAAGGGACCCTGTAGTGGAAGAGGAAGTAGAGAGGGAAGCTGAGGTGGTTGTGACACTGCAACAGACCTGGCCCGGCTTCACCGCTGAGGGTTTTTGTAACTGGAGACATCGGCCGAGATCGGCCACATCGGCCACATCGGCCACATGTAATTTCCGTTGCCAAAGCTCCATGAGACAAGTGCGGCGGCTATGGCACGTCAGATGCCTTCCAACAAACAGGTGAAACTCGAGGCCCAAAGCAGGATCAACATCACGGTGCAGATGCCATGGCCGGCTTGTGGCCCTTGGACGTGGACCGACTTTGTGCTCAACTCGCCTTTCTTTCTTTGTTTTGCTTTTGCACCATGAGAAGGGATGTGATGGGATTCGTTTCACCCTCCGGGGTTCCTGGGTCTTGCTGCAGCTGTCCAAGTCGACAATTGCAGCTGTCTTTGTGGCATTAGCCTGATTCGGCCCAACGTTCCTCAGAATTCCTCAGAATTCCTCAGAATCACAACACTGTTCAGATTTGTTTCGACTGCTGGCACTGAAGTGATGCACGCTTTCAGCACGAGTGACGCCTCTCAGTATCCGGGATGACTTTGGCTGAGCAAATTCACAGTTTGCAGAGTGGGTGCTTGACAGATAGGCAGGCTGTTCTCGAGATCTGAAATGCTCAACGATGCACGACTCCCTTTCAAGCAGAAGTTAAGTTTGACGGCGGAAAAAGGCTGCAACTCCGAAAGATCCAAGCTGCATTCGCATCTGTCACGCCTCAGCTTTGAGCTGCCGTTGTGTCAAACAGAGAAGCTACCTACCTTCAACACAAGGGAAAAGTCAGAGCTTTATGAAAAGGGCGCATTGGTCTTGTGGGGAAGTCATAGGCAAGGAAATGGCATCGGGAATGGCCGCAACATCCTGCTCAAGCTGGAAGCATTCCAGAAATATCTTTGGCCCCATGAAGCACAAAGGATTGCTGCTCTATTTTCCCCGCGGGGCAGACTCAGCATCACTAAAGTCCACCGTGGGACCTGTAGAAAAGATTGAAGGCCTTGAAGGATCACGCCAAACTGTTTGCATACCAGCTGAAACTCACATTTGTCAGCAGGATGCAAGTTCTTTGTCCTTGTCTTTCTTTGTCCCCTGTCCAACATCAAAGACGGGGAATGTTGAAGCAACACAAAAGAACCCAATCAACACAACACGAAAAAGACACAAGTGGGACATGGCAATGCTATCTCCCCAATCGCCCATGCGCTCCCACACAGGTTGGATTCTTGGATGGGATCAATTCATGGAATCATGGAATTTATGTAAAGTTTTCGCTTTATTCATTTGCATTGGCATTGGTTAGCAGCATAATTTACATACTGCATAGTTTCATGATGCATGAATCGAATGACGAAGTGTGATAGAATGTGTAGAATGTATGTATTGCCCATGTACCGCAATGGTCATACTGCGATGTAAACGTACTGAGATGCTAGCTGGTATTGGTGTGGTACTGCATTGTGTGTTCCGGTAGAGTGGGGCATGCCATGTATATACAGGCTATGTATAATGTGGTGCCCGTGTCTCCTTGTTTTTAGGGCCACCCTGCTGTTTTTTCCAGCAAAGCTATATATATGTGGCCCTAATGTATCCTGATGTGAATCACATCAGTGTTTACACAACTTTCTCTCCATAATGTGGTGCTTTGTCGCAGGAAAGGGAGGCCAAGCAAGTTCAAGTCTTTATACCCAGACCATGAATCTAGTAAATGATCGGGGGCTCTGGGTGCCTAGATTCATCAAATCTATGCAAATCTATTCAACTTGGATGAGCCACATGGAAAAACTTTGTCATTTGTCTGTGGTGATCAGCCCATGATGCCCCTGCATCAGCCACCCGGCAAGGCCATGGCCCAGTCGTAACTCTGGGGGTTTCACCCACGCCCAGATTTTCCAAGATAGATGCCTGCGAACCCAGATTGGGAAGGATGCGCAGGTGTTTCACTGGCGGAACCTTAATTGTCTGCATGAAAGATATTCAAAGATCAAAGATCACAGACTTTCTGAGTTCTTTATAGTTCTTTGACATCGTCATACTGCGTGAATTTCGTCCTGCTGGATCCCTTGATCTTCCAACCCCCCACTGCCAAGGCGAGGCTTGTGAACGCCAGAGCTCCTGCCAGTCCTGTTTTGAGCCCACGGCGCTCATGTGATGCTCAAGGTTCCTCGGCCTCGGGGATGGTTGTAGCACCTGGCCATCAACGTGGTGAGCCAAACAGGACGTCGTACTAGTACAGTATAGTATAGTACAGTATAGTACAGTAGTACACAGATGAACATGTTTCTGGTTGACTTGAACTCTGCAAGTGTCATTTGTATATGTGCAATGAAACACTGGGATCCTTTCAAGTAGACAAACATCTTAAACTCGAAGTCTGGAAGTGAACCTCAAAGACAAACTGGCAAGGGCGATGTTTTCCCAGGCATCGCCGGTGGCTTCTCGCCCAACAGCCCTATGGTGGAACAGGTGCGAGCACTTCCCAATGTTCTGAGCTTTCAGAGCTTCGTCAGCTTCTTCAATTTAAACTTTTAAAACTTTTAAAGGTAAAACGTATGACGTGCTTCACAGATCTTCACAGTCTCTTTGTTTTTTTTAATGTTGGACACTCAAAGCCGGCAGTGGAGGACTATGCCGAGGGTGCTGAAGTGCGAATGGGGAACCATCGTTTCATTTGCCTCGGCGCCTTGGGTCGTGGCTCTTATGGTGAAGTCTGGCGAGCCAAGGCGCCTTCGCATGGGGCCAGTTGGGCAATAGCAATATCAACCCATAGGGTTTGCACCTGCCAGACTGGCTGATGATGCGTTGTAAGATTCTGTTCACCAATAGTAGAATTTGAGATGCAATTTGTTGGCATTTGTTGGCTTTATCTTGATAACTTCATTCAGACCGTCAACACGAAAGTATACTCACTTTTGTCAGTCCATCTCACACATGGATATATTTTATTACATATATAAATATCATATTATATACCTATTATATATATATACTGTATATATCTGTATATATATATATTGTAAACTGAACCTTTGAGGTGTTGATGCTGAACCGGTGATGAATTCTGGTGCAGGTCATCTCAGGAGAGGATCATCTCAAAGAAGCGGCTTTGAAAGAAGTGCTCTGCCGCAGCCAAAGTGAGTTGCAGCAGGCGCTGCAGTGGAGCCGTTGGGCGTTGGGTTTGGCACCTGAAACATGGACCCCTAAGATCTTGTGGTATCTTGTGGTATATCATCTATGATTCATACTTATTAGATCTTATTAGATCAATTTTCATGATTTTCTCCAATGTACATGATATAACAATGCCACAAATGCCCATTTGGAGATGCGTCCGTGAGGCAATCTTCGAGGTCCAAGTCCTCCTTGCCTTGGAGCGCGCGGCTGCTCCACATGGGGTGGAGCTGCGGGTGCCGCGATGTATCTCCTACAAGGTGCACTGGAGAAGTCTGGAGAACTCTGGAGGGTTGGTCTGAGATTGAGATGGTGCCAAAATGTGCCAAAAACTTGCTGATTTGAAACTGAACTTGGACAAAGTCAGGATTGGAAAAACTTATGCTGCGAGACTCAGGTGGCTGCTTCGCCGCGTGGCTGGAGAGTGCGCACTGCCATGACCGTGGCTCCTGGAGAGTCCTTGGACTTCTTCATGAGGCATGGCCCATGGCTGCAGTGCATTGGCAGTGACAATTCTTTTGCCAAATCCAAGACACACAGGGTGAGCGGTGAGCCGGTGAGCCGAAGGCTGAGTCTTTTGACTGACTACTCAGTAGAGCGAAAGAATTCACAAGAAAATTCTCCTCTTTAAGCATTCCATTCTTGCACTCAAAGTGTTCCAAGTTCCTAAAAGTCCGACCAAGCTACTGCCATCTTAGTATAGTTATGTGTTTTTATTTATATATATATATTTGTATGTATGTATATATATATATAATGTTGTCTTTTTGTATATTGTTGTTTCCCTCCTGTGGCCAGGCGACCTGCGCCTCCAAACGGTGGGTCTGCACCTGCGGTGCGGAAAGCGCTGGTTTTAGCGGCCCGGCTTCTGCGGGACATCGGGCCTTCCTTGCAGTTGCTGGGGCCAATTGCTTGGCACCGGGACCGGCTGGGGTCAGATCCGATGTGGAGAAATGTGGAACATGGATAACATGGATAACATGGGACAGAGGGTGGGCGAGATTGGTGAGGCTCTGCCAACTTTGGTCTTATAGTTTTGGGCTTCAAGACAGAAAGACAGTGATAGTGATGGATGAGCAGCGAGCTGGCAGTGGGATCAGATGGACACTAGTGACACTAGTGATAATCTGCTGCTGCAACAAAGTGGTCTAACCGACTGACAGGACGTGAACTCCCACAACATCTTGATTGATGGCGCGCCAGAACATGCAGATGAGACATACCTGGCACAGAATGCCTCCTTTTGGCTGATTGACTTCGGTCTGGCAGTAGACTCCCAAAGTTGGGTTCCTGCATTATTTGCTTCAGCAAGAGGTTCTTCCAAGACCCAGATTGACTTCTGGCTAGTGAGACTGGTAGAAATCACCTCCGGACTACGCATTTCTTGCACACAATCTGGGTCGTGGAACATGAGTTGTATTTTCTTGCCCTTTTGATTTGTGATGCGAATTTGTTCCTGTTTCTTGGTGAATTTCTGTGCTAGAAACTAGAAACCAAACTGAGGTCTCAGAAACAGGGAAATGGAGGACTGTGGCTTCTGGGTTTTGACCAAATATAGACCTCCATTCGTCGATTGACCACCAATGCTTGCTCTCGGTCTCGCGTTTTTGCTTGCAAATGAAAAGAATTCAGAGCTACTCGAAACCCTGCAACATGGGCTGATAGTGATCCTTTGTTGGATCACGACCTACTTTTCATGGTGATTAGAAGGGGAGGAAGGGTCTTCCCGATCGGGCCTAGTATTTGTATTCTGAAATATATTTGTATCTGTTCTTTTCATGACTGTAGATATACTGTAGATATCTCATGATATCTCAACATCTGCAAGTTTGTTTCTTGTATTTCTATGATTCCAATGATCTTCGTTAAATCTTCATTCGTCTCAACGTCCCTGACTCAGCTGACTCTGAGTCTGAGTCTGCGAGGACGGAGTACATCGGCGGAGACAGTCGCTACTGGCCTCCGAGCAGTTGGATTATGCACCTCGTCGGCCCTGAGGGCTTCGAGCGACGTCCAGACCTCTGCGAGCAATATCAGTGCCTCGCCTGACGGTTGGACACTGACTGTTGAGCCGGGGGCAGATGCTTTGTGGTTGTTTTCTGTAGTTGTGTTCTAGGATGTTCTATGATGTTGTACAATATTGACGTGTTGAGTACGGACACAGGGTTCAGATTCTGCAGCCCAAGCAACACCAGCGCTCTTGTGAACTATGATTTTTGGCATTTTTTTCACTGCCTGGTCATGCTATCTTTTGGAAGTCCCTTGATCGTTTCAACAGTTTCCCAGGCAAAAACTCTTCAGTTTTAAGCTTGGGGAAGTGAGGGGATGAACTCATGAGGAGTCTGGAGTTTTAATCTTTTGGAGTCACCTTTCCTGGTGAAGAAGTGACGGAATAGTATGGAATAGTGAGAGTCTTGACATGTCTTGACCCTTAGATTTGTTTGTCCGGGCCTTCAACTAAGCAAGGCCTACACCGGATCTTCGACGAAATCAATAACTCTTCGGATTTGTTTGGATGTGAATTCCACTGGGAAATTGATGTTAAATTAATATATATATAGATATATAAATTATATAAGTATTGGAAGCAAAAGTGAAGTTGGAGAGTTGGAGTTATGTTTTCTTCCAGCCTCTCGTCCTAGCCACACTAGCTCCGAAGCAGCGAACTCGGGACCTTCAAAGCGCCATGAGGCGCCGCTTGGATATCCATGGCCTGGGGATCACGGCACTAGAGTTGCTGTGTTCTGTGGCCATGTCCAGTGGTGAGGCTGAGGTGAGGGGTCACATCACATGGTGACTGTCCCAAAATGAACAGATCCAGTACGACCAGTACGAAACCAGGCTTTCTGGAGGATGTTTATTACTAGGGCACTAGGGGGAAGGGATTGCTGAGGATTGCATTTGTTGTTTCTTCAAATCCCTTTGCAGGAGCTGCAGCTTTGGACCCCTATCTTCCGGGCCTGGAAAGCATACCGCGAGGCTGGAACTGTCGGGAGATCAGCAGGAAGTTTCCCTAGGTTCCTCCGGGGATCTTTCAGGGAACTTCATCTTTCAAGGGAATTTCATCTTCGATTTTCTCAGGGAACTTTGCCCAGTGATTCAAAGAGATTTTTGGAGAATTTCCCGCGGAAATTCCAGTTCATGCCAGAGGTTTCCTCGGTGCCCAGGAAGTTGCCAAGAACAATCTTTAGATTTTGCAAAAAGAATGATCAGACCTTCAATGATCCAATCAACTTTAGTCTTCACTTTGATCCCAGAGTCTTTGGTGTTGTATGGTGTTGCACATGTTTTTCTCTTCAATCACACTATCTCAACATGCTATCACTTGGAATGAGGCGGTGTGGCACTGGTGGTCAGTGGTCTATGCTGTCTTCTCCACTGGGGGGGACCTGGGACCAGTGCAGTCGCAACTAGTGGAGGACCTCAGCAATTTCTGTCACTCATGTGGTATGCTTGATTGTCAAAGTGGATTTGCTGAAACAACAGGATTCAGAGAGATTCAGAGAGATTCATAGATGTTACCGCTCCAACACAAGCATCTACCCTCGGCTTTACCCTCCCCCTTAGCGTTGGGAAGAACCATTTTATTTGTCCTTTTCATATCTTTTCATGCGTCGTCCAGCGTCGCCTCGCGAGGAGCGACTCATCGAGCGGCTCTTGGATTTACTGTCCAAGATCCGTCGCTCCTTGCGAAACTGCGCTGAACAGCTGGCAGAGACGGCAGAGAAGCCGCAAAAATTGCTGCGGATGATTGCAGATATGCTGGACGAAGGGCACCTTGGCACGAGGGCCTGCGGTTTTCGAGGTTCACCTGTTGGTTGTTCACTTCCAGGTCCCAGGCGCTTAAGCGCCAAGAGTAAGGTCAACGCTTCGCCGCAACAATTTTTGCAGTTTGCCTTTGCTCCAAATGTTTTCTCAAAATGTCACACCGCTTTTCACATCTTTTCTCTGTGCTATTCCAGCAGCACTTCTTGATTAACATTTCTCCGCGCATCCTTTCTGTAACACGACCTCCCTAACTCCTTCAGATTTTCATTAAACATTGTTACTTCATGTTACTTCAACTTCAACCATCTTTTCCAACACGTCTCTCCTTGACAACACTTTCTCACTAGTCCAAAAAAGACAACGACACTCTTCTCCCAAGGGTCTTGCTACCATGTTTTTTTGGTTCACGGCTTGAATAACCTTTTTTTTTTGTAGAGATCATAAATTCACTGCTCCAAGACAAACTTCTTTCAGCGCTCCTCTCTCAACACCCGTTCAGAATCCATTTATCCAAGTCAGTGCTCAGTGCTTCTCTTGAATCTCTCTTGCAACAACTTGTCGCTTGCAACATTTCATTTCAGCCCCTTTTCAGCCTGTTCTACACCTTTTGCAAACTAGCCCTTGAAAGCTCAATCTACCAACCCAATTCCACATGAAAGCTTGAAATAAGTTCACCCCAAAGCCCAGGGTGGACATATTTGTTGGCTGTGTAGACCACAGATAGGAATCACATAAGCTTCAACCTTAAGTTCCGCCAACATTAATTTTATGTTTTCTTCTACCCTGCGTTTAGGTTTTTTTCACACTCCTCTTGTTGTTTTCAAGCATAGCTATACTTGCATTTCTACACAAGTCCAAGCAATTCTTTCTGATGCAATACTTAGGCCATCTTAGGCCTAAATTCCTGAAGAATGAAGCTGGAGTGAGATTTTATAATTTTCATTTTTATTCAAGCGTTGCCAGGTTTATCCCGATGAAGATGCATGTAAGTGTAAGTGCCCACAAGGGCAACATATTTATTTGTCAGATCCAGATAACCGGCGAAATTTTGTGGGCGAAGTTTTGCGGCCGAAGTTGACGGCAAAATTTCTGAGTGAAGTCTGTAGTGTGATTACGCGGCAAAGTTTGCAGCGAACAATCAGCGAAAGTTTATTTGCTTTTATGTTCCTCTTTAAACAATCCACCAAAGTTTGACAACAAACTTTACATGCACCACGGCCCCAAACCAAAAAAAAACAACCAAGCGGCAAGATTTTCTCCATCAAACATATATATATAATATAGAATATATATATATATATTATATATATATATTATATATATATTATATATATATATATTATATATATATTCATTAAAATCCTTATGGCACAATTTGGGTTACCAATTTGTGGGTCAGTGTTTTGATGCAAGGCGTCATTTTTTTTTTTACCCGATACAAATTGTGCAGGCACTTCTGGGGAACCCTTGGTCCAACAATACCGACCTTTGGTTTGGTGCTCATGAAGGTGTCTTTGCGTCTTCCTAAGCAGTCCCTGCTGCAGGAAAGCCTTTGACCTTCAAGAGATCCAACAGCTCGCAACTTACGAGCTGATTTCACATCTTCGTTTTGCTATGCATAGACCAGACCATTCCATACCTGTGTACACTGTCTACTGAGTCCACTGTACAGATTTTGCTGATTTTCAGTTGATGGAATTTGAACATGCAACTTGCAAGCAACGAAGCTGACGGCAGCATGAAGTGCCCAGGATCTTGGGTGGCCCAAAGCTTGAGACGGCTGTGACGCCACCAAGCTTGGGTGGCAAGCCCAAGCGATTCCACACTTCGCCAACCAACCAGCGTGACCAGCGTGACCAGCGTGACCAGCGAGTGCCGGAACCCAGAAATGGGGGCACAGGATGGCACAGGCATCTGCAGGTGAACGGTCTTTCCTGGTCTGTACACCCAAACGCAGCAATCCCAGCCATGGCCGGCTTCATGTTTCACACGTTGCTGAGGTATTGAGTCGCATTCAAACACTCCATTTTTTGATTTTAGCATACTTTATCATATTTTAGCCTTTTGCTTTGTACAAACACTGTCTTCTAGAGGTGAATGTCATTCGCCTGCAGAAATGTGAGCTTGATTTTATCAAGGGCATTCCAGGGATGGATTTAGCAGCCACCAGCAAACAACCAAAACTCAAGCTCGCCGCTTGCCCGAAAGGTGGTGAACAATGTGCGGAAGGCTGAGGTGGCCCTGCAGGCAGGAGATGGTGCAGTACATCAGATGTGAAGGAATCGGTAATCACCAGTTGATGTCCAAGTTTTCTTTCTGCAAAAGTTACGGAATCTGCGAGCTTTTGTCACAAAACTCCTTTGAGGAGCAGTTGTTCAGTTGTTCATAACTATTGGAGTCACCCCAGAATATCTCCACAAGTCTCAGGTTCATCCCACACCCCAGCCCATGTCAGCCTCCACTGCGATCAGCTGCGTTGTCAGGGTCGATGCGACGGTGTTGAGCGCTTCCAAAGTGCACGGCTTTTGAGTGATGGTGTGACCACTGGAAGTGCCAGAAATACCGAGAAGGAACCGAGGTGCCAATCACGGGAAGAGGTGTCTTACGCCTCAAAGCTGTGTGGTGTGAACGTTACATTTTGACAGATCCCCAAATTGTTGAGACAAAGGACAAATTCTGGCCACCAGTGTCCAGCTTCGGGAAATTCATTCTTGAATATTTTTGTCAAAAAACATTAAAATGAGGATAGCGTGCCAATGGGACTACAGAGTATTCAACGGCACACCTGCTGAGCTGATACAGAGAAAAACCACATATACTCGCTCCCATGCCATTTGTAAAGACCCATGGCCCACAGCCGGCGATTCTTCTCAATGCCATCAACTATGAGTGTGGCAATGGTTTGATTCTCCCATTGGTAAGTGACGCGTTGTTTCATCCACTCCTCCAGATATCTCCGGATTGGGATCCGCATAGTGCAGAGGGGCGACTACCAGACTATTCCACACACATCCACACACTATTTTCCGCGTTCAGGCCCACCACCAATCTTCCTGGCCATGATTCTTTGATACAGCGTATGCAAAGCCCCCGCCTCAAAGATCGTTGTTATCGTTGTCAATGTCTAGCAGATTTGATCAAGAGGTGATCATGCACAAGCCACTCTGAAAGATCACAGTTTTTTTTTGCATTGCAGTCAGCTGCTAAGAATAGCAGATTCGGACAACCCTGCCCTGATGATACTCGTAACAAATATAATCAACTTGGGAAGTTGTGGGGATGTGCTCCGAGAGGCAGTGTGTCCCTCAAGTGCCCTCTCGCGAGGTGTGGGAGCACAGCTGCGGGATCGGCGGGTAGAGCTCGCGGCCAGTGCCTTCGAGCAGAAGCTTGGGCAAATGCGGCGTGAGGTCGTTGGCAAGGCGTGGCTTCGTCAGAGTCAAGCCGCCGGCTGAAAATATCTGAACATATCTGAAATATATACGTATATATATATGATATGATATTATATATATATACACATATATATATATATCAGATTATCAGAGGCATGATGTTGCATTCTCCTGCAGGCTCGGCACCGTATGCAACAACTCATGAAAGAACGGGCCGCGGAATGAACCGCGCAGCCATATGCTTAATGTGCACCTCTGGACTGCCGGCAAGCCAGCATAGCCAGCCGTTTGAAAAACTGGAAAGGAACATTGTCCAGGCTAGACATGTTTGTCATCGTTGTTTGGTGGTCTTTATGTTGACTTAATACTAATTACTGGATGGTTCGGAAGCTGACACCGCGCAAGTCAAGTCTTAGGTGGTTGAGTAGGTCAGCACCTGTCCCACCAGTCCCGTGGAACTCTGTTGGTGCTTCCGGAGTCATGCCCCTGAAATGAACTGTTGATGAATGGGAAACCAAGATGGACCAGAAACGACCAGAAGCGACCAGAATCTTTTGATACCTTTTAGGGGTCCTCCTTCAGGAAACACCCATGTCTCTAGCTCTATTCCAGGTTGTCGCGTCCAAAACGGGCGGTTGTACCATAAGCGAGGAGCATGATAATTCAACTTGCGCGTCAACAGGCTTGAGTGCCATGATGACCGACAGTATAGCAGATGTATGCCATGAGCATTCTGTGTGCCTGCCGCGATCACAAGACGTGAAGACCTACCATAGCGGATTCTCAGAAGCAAAGGCCCCTTTCCATTCATGAACCTAGTTCAGGACCAAGACATTGAATGGCTTCCAGGTAGCGAGACACAGGTTCTGAATGGAAAGGAGCCTTGAATTGAGGAACAGCTTTACTCAGGGGAAAACCGTGTTCGCTGCTGCCTCGCACCCGGTTGATCACAGTGATGGCTGCTTTCCATTCACGCGCAATAGATTGACATGCGGGGGAAGCTGAGGTGGAGCTCATAGCAGAGTGCATGGAAACTCTTGAGGTTTTATAGGAACTGATGTTTTATATACATGTTTTAGCATAGCAAAATCCAGGATAATCCAGGCCTTTTGCAGTGCTGACAATTTGTGCAGCTGCAGGACTGTCAATGGGGTGAGCTGAATCCTCAGTTAGTCCATCACAAGAATCATTTGAGGGTTAAAACTCATCGAAGAGTCATGTGGGTTTGTAAACTTCGAAACTGTTGGCCACTGCATCCCGGACCAAGTTGGAGCGAGTGGGGCAATTGCAGCAGAACCTGCGACAGCGGATTCCAACGTAGAAACAGGCAGGAGCAACAGCCGACAGCAAAATCGGGAAACTGAAGTGGTTGCTCAGCATTTGTGTTGAAAAGCAGCCGTTCAACCTCCCTTGAACCAGAGACGTTCTCTCCTTTGCAGTTTGCTTTGTGTTCACGTCGTCAACCTGTTCAATCCGAAGCAACCTGCACAAGGTCCATTGTCTTTCCGAAGCAAGGCGAGGGCGCTGACTGTGACGACCGCTTCGAGGCCAGGTCGAAGGTGGCCATGATGGGTTCCACTGGGTCAAGTTTTAGCGGCTGCTGGGCTTCAACGATTCAAGCTGATTCAAGCATATGCAGCATGTCATACAGAGCCACTTTTGGTGAGTCAATGGAGTCAGCAACATTCAGTTTCACATATTTCACATACTTTCACCGTTTCACCTGCTGGGAATTAGCAAGATCACTCTGCTGTAGGAGAGCCAGCCCTGCAGCCAAGAAGGTTTCCTTGTTGGGCTAAGGGAAGGAGGGAGGGCACTGTATGGATCGCGGGCTTCAGCATATCCAAGCCCCCTTGACACTTGCTGACCAATCGTAGGTGGAGGAGGAGGTGGTGCATAAAAGCAACCTTATTGGCAGGATGCACAGGAATGAGGGTAGGAGACAAGAGACTCATATCAGAAACACCGGAGTCACCTGAATCTGAAAGACAACCTGTATGTTTCTCCTTGACATGCCCCGTGCAGCTTGTCCCCGCGATTGTGTTCTGCATGCCTAAAACTCAGCTTGAACAAGACCATGTTCTGACTGCGCTCAGTTCGTGAAAGAAAACAGCAAGCCACTTGTGGTGATTGTGCCGGAACAATTTTGGTTGCGCATGGTTGGGTGCCTCTTCGCCTGATCGGAAGTCAATGACAGTCTGCAAAAACCAATCAAGAGTCATAAATGACGATATATGACGATTAAATTTTACTGGTAGCATTTCTGATATTTCAACCATTAACTCTTGACTATCAACAACTATCACTACCAGTAACCATCAATAACCCCATCAACAGTACACATACAGGATCTACCACTCTACCATTGTTTACATTCCTGTTGCCATTTCCTATAATTGTCCCGACAAGCTGAGGACTGGCAGGAATGGTCAGAGTGCTCAACCTCTTGTGGGCCAGATGGACGGCGCAAACGCATACGGCCGGGCCACCTATTGGTCACCCAAAAGTCGTCGTTTGGTGGCAATTCTTTGAAGGGCAACAACGAGGATTAGTTTCACACACAGGCAGACGTCTTTGATTTGTTCAGACTCACATAGAGTAAATCAAGTGTCGACTGTGCCAAAGCTTGGGAGGGCACTTGGCGCAATCTGATGTGACTCATGTGGGCCAATCAGTAATCTTCATGGCAGACAAGTTTGGGAAGCTCATCCTCACCAGACTGGACTGTCGCTCAGGGATGCCGAGTCAGAGATTGAAGGTGGCAGGCCTGCGTGCCCAGAGTGCCCCAGCTGTTGAGTGAAAGTGAGTCAAGATATCAAAGGACAATGCCATGACTGGCTGAAACAATATTAGACACATAACATATAACATCATATAATTATACATATACAATAGTATACATATGTATACATGCATATAATCTGCAGACATACATGTAAATACATTATAAATCAAGGCAAACGCCCAGCATGGACCTGGTACTGCTGTCCAGACGATTTTGCAGGCCTTGCAATGAAAGCTTCGAAGATATCGAGGTGGGGCACAGCGGGTGTAAAAGCAATGATGCTGTGATTGCTTTCGGGTCCACGACTTCCTTGGACAGGCAAAGACAGAATCATAGGACAAGTTTTGGAACAATTCGGATCAATTCGGTAGAGTTTGCTCGTATCCATGAGACCCATGAGACCTGGAGAATGCGCACATGTTTCTGGACCAGCTGGAATCGAAGTCTTTGGTGAAGGGATATGAAGGGATTAAAAACATTCCAAAGTTTGAAGTCATTTCGATATATTTTGATATATTTTGATCATTTCTTCTTGTTGCCGATGTGGCTCCAATGTGCAGGTTTGTGGTCTTGCAGGGTGTCCTCGCAACTGCATTTGGGGTGAATGGGTTGGCGACCCAAAGAAGAGAATCTCGCGTGGATTGGCAGAGCAAATTAGCAACGGAGGAACACTCTGAGGCAGTCAAGTCCTGCTGAGTCACTGTTCAGATGGGTCCAACCAGGTTGCAGAAAGATAGTTGGACAATGTTGGACAAACAGTCGATGTTTTCTGACCGCCCGTTTGATAGTTTCAGACTTGATAGTCCCTGAACCGTTTGTTCAACTACCTATTCACCAGACCTTCCCACAGCAAGACGCCCAAGGGTGGCTGGAGCAACTGCACCAAGAGCTGTGGAAAAGGAGACTCGACTGCACAAATATATATATATATATATATGTATATATAATATAATATATATATATATAATATATATATAATATCATATATATATACACTATATATATATGATTATATATGTGTGTACACACATGACACACTACACGGACTAAACCCCATTGGACTAGAATGCAAATTGAGGACCACACGATTGCCTGGTTCAATCGCAGAGCCCACCCAAAGTTTGGGTCCAAGAACTCTTCAACTCCCCCTGCATTCAGGCATTGCATTCCGGGAAAGAGTACAACTGGTGGCGGCCCATACCGACATGATTTGCTGCGACATTTGCGAACGAGCACGGTTTCAGAGTGTTTGTGCTTTTGCAAGTACCATCCTTCTGAAACCTCTGGATGTTCAAGAGAGAAATTTGACAGAAGATGCACATTTCACATCACATTTCCATTTGGGAAGCTAATTGACACTGATCAAGGCACCACAATACAATAAGTATCAATAAGTAAATCTAAACGATTGACAGAGGTGAAAACAGTGACTTTTAAGACTCTTTCAAACAGATTTTTTGACATCAGCTCGTGCCAACAGCGTGCCTCCATGTGCCTCCTTTGTCAGATCTCGGACTGCTTCATGCTGCGATTTGTCCATCCAGAGCTTCAGAGGTAGTGCCATTTCCCTCCGCCAGGCAGCCTTTGGAGGATTCTGCGAAGGGAGTGCAGTACAAACCAACTTCTGCAACGATGTGTCCTGGCCTTGGCCGAGAGAATTCAGGATTTGGATGGATCTTGATGGATCTGAATGAATTTAGCATGGCGTACGTGTTGCTTCTGACTCGCCCTAATATCATTTGCTGATCCAGGCCATGTCCTGAAGACTGCGCATGGTCCGGCGCTCAAAATCTTGGATCGCATTTCTGAGATGCCGATTTCATACTTAACAAGCTCGTTCATAGACTGCGGAGAGGTGAAGGGACTGACGAACTCAAGTCATGCTATGCACCCCACTCATCGCATCTCATGGCCATCCATGGTTCGGCGTTTTTGAAACACCAAGGAATGATTGGGGTGATTGGTCTAACTGTACAGAGCCGTGTGGAAGCAGTGCCGCGGGGTCTGGGTCTCGGTGTGCGGGCTGGGATTAGTGCCCTTCCAACGACTGAGGGCGGTAGTGACTGAGTGGAGATTCCAAGTGGAGATTCCAAGTTGCTTATCAACTTATCAGTGGCTTTTGATGATTTTTGATGCTTCCAGAAGATTTTTCGCGGCACACATCAGTTCGGGCCAGTGCCATGCGAGATTCCGAGGACAAAGGTCCGCCTTCGAACCAAGTTGGGCCCCTTCAACGGAGGGGAGGCGGTGGGGACCTGGAGTGACATCCACTTGGAGTGAACTGCTTGGCCAACTTCATCTTGATGCCAAGATGTTCATGTTGGGAATTGGAATATATAATCCAGATCTGTTTGAGAGTAAACAAGATTTTTCAGATTCAATAGATATGACAATTCGGGTTGGCACTGTCGCATCTCGATAGTTTTCCAGTATTTTTTGTCGCTGACCAGGACTGCGTCGGCCCTGACAGTGACACAGCGGCTTGCAATGCTCCTGGTGGCTGCTCAGTGAACTGCTCTTGGGAGGTGACTTCCCTGAGGGAACTGCTGTCCTTGCTAAGGAATTCTAGAAAAAACAAGTAGGGATGGCACTTTGTTTTTTCACTGTACCTGTTTGTTCTGAAATATTGTCAATGGTTTCAGACTCTTGATTTCTACTTAAGTCATCTTAAGTCTTGGTTGAAGAGCCTGACTTTCTTGTTTTACGCCCTCCATCGCTGAAGCAACGAGGGCAAACCACCGCCAGGCATGGAACGAGTGGACTGCATGCTCCAGGACCTGAGTGATGGGCACACGTCGCAATGTGCCAACATTTGACAACGTTGAAACATGTTGAAACTGGCCTGCAGCGGCCTGCAGGAGCTGCCGGACGGGCACGCGTTCCAGATATCGCTTTGTGGACACAGAGGTGTGGGGATGTGCCACAAAGCCTCAAGTACAGGTGAATTCACAGTGAATTCCTGCCCAATTATGGTTGGAGAATGTTGGAGATGGTATTATGTCAAAACGGGGTGGGTTTGGAGTTTGGATCTTCCTATTCCTATTCCATCCGATTCCTACCTTCTATTTCTGTTCGCCTCTGCCTATTTCCTAGTTTCTATTTCATACAAAGCAGCTACAAATATACACGTGGCATGAAAGGTCAGACATTCCTCCAAGGATCGACCAGCCCTGCAAGGCATTTGGTCCTTTGGGCCTCAACTGCACTGGTGCACCTGTTCAGGAGGACTGCAACTGGTGCATGTGATGTGAGGTTCCATCTCTTTGCCCCGAGTTTTCCTGATGTTTAATCACAGAGAGAGAGAGAGAGAGAGAAAGAGAGAGAGAGAGAGAGAGAGAGAAGGGTGTGAACCGACAATGAGCCGACTTGTCATTTTGCCATGTCTAGGCCACGTTCTTATGTTTCAGAATCAATCATTTGCAACAAACTAGTCGTAAGAGGCAGCCCTGTTATAGCTCTTCAGAGTCTGCACACGATGCTGTTCCCTGTCTGATTTTGTCTGCGATTGGTACTCGTAGTCGTCGTAGTGGATGCACCTGTAGGAGCCATGTGACACCCACACTCCTTGCCCTGTCGACTCTTGTTCTGCACAACAGAGAGAGAGAGGGCTGCGCAGCAGGATTGAACGCATCTGATGTGAAGAATTCTTGCGGAAAATCCCAGTGGAATGCGGCAGAAAGGTTTTGCGTTGGACAGCTTTGGAAGAGTGTCTCCATTTTCACCGTGCGCAGTTTAGTGTTTGCATTACTTCTGCTCTTCCCCTGTGTGTGTTTAGTTGCCAAAAGAGCTTAGTTTATGATAAGTTATAAGAGGGCTACTGCCCCCTGACCGAAACACCATGCCAGTGAAGGACGGATCGTGACTGCTCTTGTCGCTGGATTTCTTTTTGACTTGTTCACTTGTTCGCTTCCTGTTACCATCTTGCTTCCTCTTCACGGCCTTGCTCTTGCATGACATGTTCTTCTGTTTCCCTTTTGTGTTGTTTGCTTTGCCGTGCTCTCCCTTTCTTTCCCATCTCTTGTCCCCTCTTCTCTGACACGCCGCCCTGGTGTCTGCAGGGGCCGGCGGAAATTGCAAGCCGTAAATGTTCCCTTGCCCTTACTATCGTCGGTCAACCCCCAAATTTCCATTCTGATCAGATCTGATCAGTGGACACCGATTGCCGAGGATTGTGACTTCGAAGACTGGAACGATTGGGGCAGTTGTTCCGTACAACCTTGTGGACCCGCCTCTTGGTTGAGCAGGACGAAAATGGCAGTTTCTCTAGTCGAATGATTCGAATGTGTTTGCGCTTTCGGCTTTTAGGTGGATCTTGTGTGTTTCCTTCTTAATCATGTATTCACCCCGCTTCGCGTGGGGTGGCCGCCCACACCGCAGGTTTATTTCGGTCCGTGAGAGGGGCTAAGGGTGGTTTTCCCCCGTGGGGGCTCCCCAAGCTAAGAAGTTTCACTTCCCCCCCCCGTGGGGGGCTCCCCAAGCTAAGGAATTTTCACTTTTCCCCCCCGTGGGGGCTCCCCAAGCTAGGGAATTTTCACTTTCCCCCCCGTGGAGGCTCCCCAAGCTAGGGAATTTTCACTTTTCCCCCCCGTGGGGGCTGCCCAAGCTAGGGAATTTTCACTTTTCCCCGCCGTGACAGCTTCCCAAGCTATGGAATTTTCACTTTTCCCTCCCTTGGAGGCTCTCCAAGCTGCGGAATACCATTAATTTTTATAATCACCATGTTCCCGGGCTAAAAACCTAGAACCCTGAGATATAAGGTAAAAATGTGAAAAAGGCTGAAAACATGGGGCACTAGATATCATATATATATATATTGATTGATATAAAGCTGGACAGGTAATTTCAAATAGCTAGACAACGACGCCTAGATAGTCTCCCAAATCCCGTGTTCTGTGAATGTGTTTCCATGTTTTTGCAATGGTTTCCTTCAAAGCACGGTACTTTACACTTTTGTCGCCATAAAACCGGTCGAAAACATCATGTTCGACAATGCTTCCAATTCCCTTATCTCCCCAACCGTTGAAAATATCGCTATTTACAGTGTTTTCTTCAATTTTTCCATGTGCCAATGCCGGTAGCCAACTCCAACATATATATAAGAAATCCTTCCAAAACACTGTTTTTGACAGTGTTTTTCCAATGTTTCCAGTCAAACAGACGGTAATTTACACGTTTTTTGCCATAAAGGCAGTAAATCCTTCCAAAACATTGCTTTTGACAGTGTTTTTGTAATGTTTCCAGTCAAGCATACGGTAATTTACACGTTTTTTGCTATAACGTCAGTCCAAAACACTTGTTTTTGCAGTGTTTTCAATGCTCTGGCATCCAAAAACCCTGCAAAATCTTGCTATGTACAATGTTTTTTTCATTTTTGGCCGTTTTTCCATTGCCGGAAAGCTACCAAAATGACCCAAAATTCCATTTCAATACCCTCTTGCGCTCAGACACCCAAAAATCCTCGAAAAATGTCGAAAACACCACCGTATTCTGGTCTCGGTGCGAAACCGTTTTTGGGGTCTGGTCTCGGTGCGAAACCGTTTTTGGGCCCCCCCCCCAGCTAAAGCTGATATAGCGACTGCTATATTAACAAATGTCATTGAGCATTTAGTGTTGCTGTTGCCCCCCAATAAGCACGCCTTCACCGCCAAAGCGGTGTGGGCGGATTTTTCACATTCTATCCCTTCAATGCGTTTCTGCAGGTCAAACCCGAACAGCTGCATCATGTGAATGGATCAACTGCTTAAGCTTGATTTGTTCGACTCCAGCACCGTTTGCACCGCCATGACGCCACCAAGGCTCGGCGAAGCAGGTGGCGGGAGGAAGGTGATCCTGCCAAACATGGTACCGCGGCAGAATTTTAAGAACATTTAAGAACATGACAAGCACCCGCAGCCTCCAAAAGCCTTTAGGTGAAAGTCATTGATGATGGAAGGCTCCTAAGATTTGCTTATCCACATGTGAATGTGGATTTTACTCGACATGTCAATCCTGGCCTGTTTGAGCGCATCCCATTTTTTTTCCCCTGTTGCAGCCTCTTTAGGTGCAGTTCTGTTTATATAAAAGCCTTTGGGTCTTGCAAGAGCAAGGGTAGCAAGAACTGATCAGAACTGGGTTGGAGAGGGCTTGCTTGGCTGATCGATCCTATTTTGTCGTCCTAAGGCGGAGCTCCTTGCGCAGGCATGACTAATGAGACGGAGGAACCAAGTGGGCTAGCAGAGTCGTGCAGCCTTAAACGATGGCTCTTGTCATTGGTATTCATGCAGAAGGAATAATTATCCTGCAATATCTGAGATATTTTTGCGATGCATATCTGCTTTCAACCATTGGACCCCCAACCCGATTTGTATTTCCCATATTTTCCCATGTTTTTTTGTCCATAGTTGCCATAGCCTACCAGTGGTGCTCAGAAGCTGTGAGGACTGTGAAATTGCGGGTGCTCCGCCACCTGTTCCTTGCAATGTGACCAGCGTGGATGTCACCATACCTTTCTCCGGAAAGGCAACGGTCACGACCTCAAGAGTACAGTAGCTGGATGGGTCTGATCATGGCGGATCTTCCAGATCTGCTGTTTTTCTTCTTGAATGATGTGCACGTGCGCAAACTCCAATGATGGCAACTTAAACAACTGGAAGTGGCAGAGTTGCGCGAATCACGTATCAAGGTCACAACTCCTCCAGGCAATGGTTCCGAGACAGAGGCACAGGGTTCGAGCACTCATTCGGATACCATGTGTCTCTGTGACCCAGAGAATCCGCTTCGCATTGAAAGTTGAATCACTTTGCGGAGGCTGTAGCTGAGATCGCCGCGGTGGAGGCAGCGAGATCAGCAGCTGCCAGGGGTGCTTCGCCAGAAGAACAGGCTTGAGGGTGGCTTCCATGGTTTGGTCGTGACAAATGCAGCCTTTGCAGAGCTCTTCAATGGTCGTCATTGCTCAAAGAAGATGTTGTGAAATATTATGATGAAGGAATCATGAATCACAACATTTGCTTGCATTGTTTTCCTATGTTTCCTCTTGCTTCAGCAGCAACAGCAAATCAAGGCTTACAAGGCATTTGCCTGTTTTACTTCTCAGTTCAAGTAGAAACCTTCTCCGCCTTCTTTTTCTTCGTTTTTCTGTGTTTCCTTCCAAGATCTGTGTTCTGTCCATGTCGTACTTGCAAATTCCTGAAGCAGATCGAAGAAGACACAGCGAACAGTACGTACAGGGCACAGTTGAATCACATATAACTTGTACTTGCACCACCTTTGGAAACAAAAACGGCAACTGATCTTACTTGTGTCACCTGACTTTGTTTTGGCAGGTCTCGTGGATCAACCTAATACTAAGGCCACAGAAGCACAACCGTTACGAACCTTTTGGTCTCCGGCCATGTGCCACGAGCACAAACAGCACTAAATTTTACTCTATTTCCCAGATTATTGTATCGCAACAATAGTTGTTTGTCCTCCCGCGGCTCCCTGCCTTGTAACTAAGAAAAGAAAACACAATGATCACAATGGGAGTATCGCAACAAGCATTTGGTCTTCGCCACAGGCATTTGGTCTCGTGAAATTGAATTTGTTGACAAAGGATTTTTGAATATTTTTGATAAGTATCGGTCAAGTTGTCCATTAGGGCGCTGCTGTGAGGCTGCTGCTGCGGGAGAGGCCGCGTCCAACGCACCAGGTGGCAACGCTACCATGGCAGCAGAGGCCGCGCTCAGTGCTGCGAAGGCAGCAGGTGCTTCCCCGTCTCAACAGGTGTTGGCCGCAGCAGCGGCAACAGCGGCAGCAGCGGCCAAAGCCAGTGGTGGAGATCCAAGGAAGGCCAGTGAAGATGCAGCAGCTGCGGCCTCACAGATTGCCAAAGAGACAAATCTGAGCCTTGCCGTCTTGAGCTTCCCTTCAAGTCTTTTGCACAGGGAGCGGCAAGATCAGTGTTATGTCAAGCGACATCGATCGTCATTGATTGTCATTGAATTCTTCAGCAGCAGCACTATCAGTCATCCACTATCAGTCACTAGCATCCGTATCAGTAATCAGCATCCTGCAGCTTAAATTGCTCATTGTTTTCCGAGGAGCTCAGCTGAGGAGGCCAGCTACACAGCTGCAGCTGCGCGTGACGCCGCAGTGAATTCAGCCACAGACGTGACAGAAGTCGCGAAGGCAGCCCTGGAGGCTGCGAAAGCGGCAGGTGCCACGGCCACCGAACAGGTGGCAGCAGCTGCAGTGGCAGCCTCTGACGTGGCCAAGAAGCAGGGAGCCAATGCCGAACAGGCCGCAGAAGTTGCAGTGGCTGCAGTGCTTTGCCCGCATTACTTACCTCACAACTTTTTCGGGTCCATTTTCACATCTTGTGTTGGATTATTCAGCATTATTTGGCTAGCAGCTAGATGAAAAGCTTGTAAGCAATGCACTTGCACTAAGGCAAAGGCAGCAGGAGCTTCGCCACAGGACTGCGTGTGGGGCACCAAGGTGGCAACCGTTGTATCCAACTTCCACACCATGATGGACAACGGATGATTGTGTGATTTGCTGTGCCAAGTAGCGGCTTGGCCATTATAGCTTCGTTCCACATAATATGTTTTGATATGTTTTAGATGTTTTAGTATGAACCAAATTTAACATTATACCGTAAACCGTATAGATTCATTAAATGCCTAAATATGAACTGAGAATGAGCAAGACATGTTTTAAGATGTTTTAAGCAATCTTTCCTTGTTACACCTTTCCAAACTTGAGACCTCAAAGCCTCAGCTTGTCGCAGGAGCAGTCCGCTGCTGCCACCATGGCGTACAGCAGGGCAGGTGGCAACGAGACCTTGAACGCCTCCAACCTGGGTTTGCCGCCTGTGGTTGGAAGACCGCTTGGGCGCCCAAGCATTGAAAAAGGCCACGAAGATTTCAACAGAAAATGGATGAAAGGGTGCTGGCACATGGACAGCACACCTCTAGTTTTTCACATTTCGGGTTGCTGGATTTACCAAATCGAACAATCTAAGAAGCTGCACTGAGTAGCCTCGGGTCAGAAGATCGCCCAGCTTTGCTTCCTTAGTCAGTTTTGATGCGATGAGGAATGTGTCAGAAGAGGAGGCCGAAGAGATAGCCGAGAAGGCGAGATAAAGCGCATTGATGGAAGAAGCGTTGGTCCGTTGGTGGAATCATTGGAATCTTTCACATTCTTTCACAACATAGGCAGGCCGCCAGGCCTTCCATTTGGTTCGTGTCCTGAAACTCCTAGCAGTTCCGTGGCAATGTCACGCAGCATACAGGAGCCTGAATCTGTGACTGGAAGTGAAATCCTCGAGGCTGCAGGGCGAGATGGGGATGAGATGCCAGATTCTGCAGAATGCGAAAGTACTCCGAACTTTCGTGAACTTTCGTGAACTTCCGTGAACTTTCTTGAACTTTCTGCTTTCCAGTTTCAATGCCATTGGAGGTGGGACATTTCATATCATTTCATTCTGTTCTTTCAGTTCTAATAAAAAGACTGCTTCACTCTGCCATGGTGTCAGGTGAGTGATCCGGATGCCTTCATCAACGACGCCTCCGCTTTGGAAGCAGTACGGGCCGCTGCCTCAAAGCTGTTCTGGGCTCGCTGCCCTCAGCTGTTGCAGCTTGTGTTGTCTGAGCTTTTCTCTTCCCAGGATGCCCTAGCTGAAGAACTTGGAGTTGATCCGGCGACTTGACAACAGGGGGGTATAGGCTTAAGGCTCCTGCACGGAGTGTGACATAGCTGACATAGCTGGTTAATACATGTTAATACTTAATAAGTTAAAGATCTAAAGGTAAAGGAGTGCATTGCATCTCGCTGCCTGACATGCGTTTTCTAGGTTTCGTGCAGATTTTACCACTGATCACTATACTTAGGATGCCATTGTTATAACGGCTGCTGTTACCACGGAGGCCAGCGCGTCGCTTGATGGTGCAGGAAGTAATAAGTCTCAAACGGCCAGTCAGTACTATTTGATACCTTTGCATACCCGTACTGTTCGCCTTTTCTTCCAACCAGGTCAACTTGGTGCAATCAGTTGCAGAAGCTAGCGCAGTGAATCATTCAACATGTATTCTGATTTCAACATGCAAAGTGGCATTTGATGCCAACTCAGGTCCGATAAATTAAGGATATGACATCAAGGGATATTAATGGTGGTGCTTTTGCACTCTCTGTTTGTGTCCTGCAAATCAGCAAGGTCAGGAAAAATTCGAACATCAGCAGTTTGTCCGTGAAACCAGCGCTGCGCCAGACTTCTGCGACTGTGCCAGCTTTGTTGGAGATGGCCCGAAAGACATCCATTGCGAGGCATGGTTGGTGTGACAGTAAGGTGTGTGTGTTTGGCCTTTCGTTGCAGAGGTGACCACTTCGCAACCCTTTCCAGGGAAACAAGTTGAAGAGAACTGGGCGTCAATTTTGCTTAGATCATCAGTGTTTATCTTGGGGTGAGAATTGCCACCAGAGATTACAGCGCATGGAGCCAGGAGGCAAGCAAGGCAAGTGAGGCAAGCTCCGGCAAGTGGTGAGGTCAACATCACCTACAAAGTGGTGCCCAGCAACTTGGCAGCAGTACCCGAATCATCTGAATGGCTTGAAATTTGATCAGGTTTGAAATTGTTTCAAGATCTTTGTCACTTTGCTGCTGTGTGTCTGGCGGTCAGGTGTCAGCTCAAAGACCAGTGACGAAGTGATTGAAGCAGTTCGGAAGTTGGACCGGGTCGAAGGGATACAAAGGGATAGGGCTTCTGCCAGACTTCCATCTACAGGTTCAAAACTCCATAGATGACATGAAAAGTAAACACTATGCCATGGGTCTTCATAAATCATGACATATCATGACAATTCAAAATAACGTGACTATTGACCCTGCCAAATAATGTGACTATTATGAATTGACTGTGTAGGTCTTTGTACTTGATATATAGTGCAACAAACAATGAGACAACGCAAAATTGGTCGAAGGACTCGGACCGTGCCTCAAAGTTGCACGAGAGAGTGTTTGAAGAGAAGCAGCTCCCATATCGGGTCGAGCGCTAAGAGCGCGGAGCACAATCTCATTGTATGGCGAATGATGGCAACCTCACCAGGACATCGTGGGAAAATCACTTCACTTAATTTATATATTATATTTGTATAATATATTCTACTATATTCATTTATAATTATTTATTATATGTTTGATTAGTTTATATTGTATAGGTTATTGGTACGTGAAATTCTGCGAGAATATGATCCAAATTTTTCAATTCTGTTTGTGACATGCCGCCAAACTCCTTTCAAAGCTATTTAGTGGCATCTCACTTGTAGCTACTTGTAGTTCAAAAAGCTGACTTCCAGATGTTCCAGGTTCTTTGCCTGAGTCTTTGACACCCAGGTGCAAGTTGCAGATCTCGAGGTCGCTGTCACAGATAAGGACAGATCCCGCCAGTGCTTGCTGACAGAGTTTGTCAACGATATGATGCACTCGGCAAAATCGATCATTCATCCTAAGAGAGACACTTCAAGTACGACTTCATGATGTTTACAGTAATGGATGCAGATGATGCAGGTCATAGCGTCATAGACGGAGTCGTAGGTGCATTATTCAGGTGTTGCCAGAGGCGTGAACGCACATACACACACACACACTGCATGTTAAAAAAAAAAAAATCATGAGAACGCTGAGGTAGTCATCGCCTGGAATTCCTAGGTAAGGCAACCTGTCAGGAAAGGTCAAAGGAAATGTGTTACGTAGAGTTGGGGTCCTCGGCGTAGCCCCTTGCCATATCGAGTGAAAATGAAATACATCGAAACTTGCAGGTACGCTGGGTTGATCAGACCCAGTATCCCATGATTGTGGTAGCTTCGTTGAGTGCGGTCCCACAATCATGCCGCACTCCCCTGCATCTAGACAGTCAATGAACTGCATGTGACTAGCAGTGTACACACACACACAGCCCCTCAACCAGAGGGGCAACCCGAAAAAGTTAGGCACTGTTTTCTAGCGGCACCACTGCATCAAGTGATCTACGGAACGACACTTAAACAGCCGTCGGAGAAAACTCTTTAAATCTTGGGAATTCTTGGTTGTAAACAGATCAGGAAGTCGAGAACACATCAAGCCTAACAAATCTTGGGTTTGGGAAATCTGTACTTCTCGCGGGAATACGCAACTACGAATAAATCGCAATGGAGCAAATAAACCACTCAAAGGAGCTCGAGATGTGCTGGCACTCCGCATCGAACGTAGTGGTTTCACCCAGGGCAAAAGTAAAGTAACACGTTGTTGACCAGCATCCACATTGAAACCACTTCCAACAAAATAGGAGAAGAATAAAATTGTAAATTCCAGAAGATGCGTACATGTGTTTGGCATTGACTATGTTGAGAAGTCAGTAGAATGCGATTGTCCACATATCGATGATGCAACGAACGATCCCAAGTGAAGGGTGAAAAAGAGAGATGATAGTTCCATTCACGTTGTAAAGCCACGGCTGAACAAAGTACAGGTGCAAACTGAGATCCCATACTGGCTCCCCGACATTGTCGAAATCCTTGGCTCCCGACCGTAAAATAGGAATTATCCAGCAAGTATTGAACAATAGCAGGAATGTGTCTCAATGTAACAGAAAAATATTGTTTTGATTTGTCTCTCCAACGACCTTGAAACACTCTGAGATAACGTTCCAACTTGTGAATGTGAGCCTGCATGACAGTGTCTAAACCTTGTTCGGTAGCCCCTTGCCATATCGAGTGAAAAAGAAATACATCGAAACTTGCAGGTACGCTGGGTTGATCAGACCCAGTATCCCATGATTGTGGTAGCTTCGTTGAGCGCGGTCCCACAATCATGCCACACTCCCCTGCATCTAGACAATTAATGAACTGCATGTGACTAGCAGTGTACACACACACACAGAGTCACCTTTGACTGTGATGTGAGGACAAAGGCACAGCCAAAGAAGAGGGTGCTCTGAAGCCAAAGAGCATCAGAAGTAGCGGCAGGACCTTAGGATTCTCAGGTTTGCTGTTCTCTGCGCTGTGTGTGTTCATAGCGATTATATAGACAAGCTTTGCCAGACTGAATTGCTGATCTGAAAGCTTTGCTGCAAAAGGGGCGTTTCTGCAGAGTGATCAGGTGCCATTTGCAGCTGAAGGTGGTTGGAAGATGTTGGAAGTTGGAAGCAGTTCTTGTGAGTTCGTTTGCCCGGTGCAGTTTCCAGACAGGTTGTTTCAAGCTGTCCACGACTGAGGCCGCTTGGGCTGGGCGCATGGAAGCTGCAGTTGAGCGCCCCACAGCAAAGCAGCCGTCCCTGGGCAAACTATTTTTTTTTGGGCAGGTGGCAAACTCGACTCAACAGACCGTTGCACTTTCTATCGTCATATTGATTTGTTCGGTGACTTTCGATTGGATAAGAAAAAAAATTGACAGATATTGCAGGAACAAAGATGGAACAAAGAAAGAGCAAACAATCTACTGTCCAATGCAATAGACATGCCTTAGTGTCTTGTTCCTTTCCTGATGTTCTTTTCTTGGTTTCTGCTTGGTTTTTCCATTATTTTTTCGTTTTTTCTTTATCTACATTGTTGCGCTGTGGCTTCAGCATTGTTTGCATTCTTTCTTTCATGTTCTAAATCTTGACTGCTGCACAAAGCTGACGAAATTGCCCGGTTTCCTCTTAAAGGACTTTATCATGAACAGGACACAAGTAGATGGAAACTACATGTAAGACACGAACAACTATGTCTAACTATGTTGTTAGCGTTTTGTTCACCAAAGTCTGAAACCCCCAGGCGGGGCACTTGGTTGAGGATAGGATGACTTTTTCCTTGTCGAAACACATGCTTGAGTGAACTCGGGCACCCTTTCGATGCTGAAATGTTGGGTAGGGTTACCCTAGTCTTTTGACAAATCCTGGGTGATTTGCTGGAAGGGATTCCAGAATTCTGCTGACCACCAGCTCAATTTGTGGAGAAGAAGACAATCTCATGCGATATCACGCGCAGAGAAGTAAAGATGAAGAGCAGACCGGAGACGGTTGGATAGCCCGTTGGATAACATTTGAGATAATCTCAGATAACGTTAAAGTTAAGCAAGAACTGGTGCTTTGACCGTGGTCTCAGGTTGTGGCTCAAGGCAGGGGTTCTGTGGGAATTGTTCCAGTCAACGAGTGCAATAGTGCAACTAGCAATAGGCAACTTATTGCTTGGCTATTTCCAAGGCAGTAAAAAATGGCACCTCTGGGTCTGGAATTCTCAAGAACATCTGGACCATTTTTGGTTGTGCATGTCTCGGATGACTACACATGCAGAGTCTGGAATCAATCTAGAATGATAGTGAATGATAGGCATTGGTCGTTCCTAATCAGCATTTACTGTATCATTTGTTCATAGGGCCTTCGCAAGCACATACCAATAGCATCAACTATATCAAATAGCACAGAATGCGAAAGACCCTCTTTGAAAGTTCAGCGAAGTCTCAAGTGACACAGTGCATCCATGTGCATCCATGTGCATCCATGTGCATCCATGTGCATCCACCATTTGCAGCTTCCCATAGCTTCCAGCTGTCCATTGTGCCACACAGGTGGACAGGGCCGTGCAACGAGCAGCACGGGTTGAATCGGCCAGGATGAGGCCTGAATTGGACTTTCCGGACTTTCCCATTTCGAAGCACAGCCTCATCCCATCATGCAGCAATTTCAACTTCCAGAGGCCATGCATCTAATCCTGTGGAGTCAACGAGTCAACCATCTGAAAATATCTTGAATTTTCATGAAATTTCATCATTCAGGTCAATTCAGGTCTACTAATTTCTATTGTTGTTCTGATGCCCAGAGCCCAGTGGTTCAGCGGTCCAGTGGCTGAATTTGCATGGCCAGGTGTGCCTTGGAGTGCTCGGATCCAGATCAGATGCAGGTGGAGTCTGTTGGATCATGTTGGATCTATTGGTTTGGCGTTGGACAGGGTGGAAACTGTTTCAATTTACAAAGTTGGGTGTTTATCCTCCAAAGTGCGAAATTCTTTGGCAGAAAAAAAAGACGAACTCATGGGAACATGTTAGGCACACAGTGAAGGTCCATTTTTGACAAAAGCTGTTGGGAACGGTTGGGAACGTGCAGCGTTTGGAGAGGCCATGATGACCTGGTGGATGGCTCGAGATCCAAGCGCAGCCTGCAGCCCAGATACACACATATTACATCCCAATAGATCTCGTATGTACAACATATCTATTATATAATACATACGTGACAATACATATATAATATGTGTAATCTGTATAATATGTATAGTACTTGTACGTATGTATAATAGTATAATATGTAGAATATATAGAATATGTACAATATGTATAATATGTGTATATAATTACAAATATACTTGATCGTACTTGATTATACATAATTCATCAGAATTATACATGATTATACACAACTATACACAATTAAACATAATTATATATATATATATGCGCATGATTATACATGATAATACATGATTGCACTTGTACATGATTATACAGAATTACATAATCATACATAGTTGCACAAAATTACACCAACATCACACAAAATCACACAACGTTACACACACACACACAATTACACACACACACACTCTTACACATAATGGATTTTACATAATCATATATAATCATACACAATCATGCATAAACATACATATATAATATAATCACAATCATACCATACCATGCCATACCATTCCTCACCACACCACACCACACCACACCATACCACAACACAACACAACAGAACATAACATAAGAGAAGAGAAGAGAACACAACAGAATATAATATAACATATAGCATAAGTTACAATTACATATAATACATACAATATATATATATATATATGTCATCATTCATCATAATTTGATGATTTCCATCAGGGCTTTGCCCTGCGTTCCTGAAAAAAAGCGTTCTCGTGTCTCCACAAAGTCATAGGTGCAAAACGTTGGAGCCAAGGCATCCTCTGGTGGGACAGCTACAGCTCGTTGGGGTCACCCAGCCTCAGCTCTCATCAACTTATGTACAAGGGATTGTACTGATGCTATACAGTTCTACTGTATAAGGCATGATAAAACGTGGAAACTCTGGATGGTCAACACTTTGAGGCCTCTTGCAAGAGGACAGCTGTAGTGCGGAGGAGGCCTCGATGCTATGGGGTTGCTTTGGGGTTGCTATGTGTTGTGACATGTCGGGTGTTGTCCCATCAATGCAATTCCATGCAATTCCCAAACATGGGACATTAAAGCTGGTTCCACGGGTTCCACTAAGAGGGAGAAGTGGCATCACTTTGAGAATTTGAAAGAGACCCAGAGATCCCAGAGGGATTTCAGTTTCATTTGCTTCCCATCCCCATTCTCATTCCCACATATTCCCACCATTCCCATCCATTCCCATTCCCATCCTCCCTATCCTCATCCGCATCCTCATTCATTCCCCATTCCGAATTCCTCATCTACCGATTTCCTACCCCTGAAGGCTGGGGAGGGTGAAACCTTGGGCACGCTGCTGTTCTCGGAGCGCCTGCACCGGCGGCCGGGGACCCAAAAAATGTCCCCGCGGGCAGCCTGGGGACCCCAACATACCCCAACTGTTTAGGTGGATTTAGGTGGATATTCTATGACTTTCTATTGATATTCTATTGATATTGTAGGATATTTATGGATCAAATTCGACTGTCACTTGTAGTCGTTTGCTGTACAACAAAAGCTATATGAGATTTTTGCGACCCCTAAAGCACGAAATTTGTCGCAACTTTCAAAGAGATTCGAAAGAAATGGAAGATAATGGAAGGATGCCACTCGAGGGCTTTCAGGACGGTGGACATCCACCAGCCTCCAAGTATCTCCAAGTATCTCCAAGTGTTCCTTCCGGATTCTCCTGACTTTGGCACCTTGAGCCTCAAGCAGTTTCGTCAGTTTTCTCGTGTTTTCTTCACAGACACTGACAACAATTGCCTTACGACCTCGGGACAAGAGAATTTCCTTCGATGCACATCATTCACGTGCACCATCCCTTGAGGCATCCCCCAGCAACCTGCGACAGCTCCTAAGGTTTCCATATGTTTCCTTCTACGGTCGGAAGCCTATTGCATCAAAATAGTCAAGAAGTTTTCAGAAATGTGCGAAACAAAGATCTTGAGTTGTCGTTGTCGTCTTTCTTGTCGTCATCATTGTCGTTGTCGTGGTTGTCGTGGTTGCGGTTGTCGTTGCTGTTCGGGTAAAACATGAACATAACAATAATTGCCAGTATAATCGTTGCAGTTCTTCAAACCACTTTACAAGACTTTCAGACCTCTATTCCCTGCCGTGTTCCCCCTCAGCTAGGGTCGGAGGATTTGGATGCAACCTTTGGTGCTTCTGAGTTTCAGAGCGATACTGTCGCAGAAGTCCAACTTTACACATTTGTTACGTCATTGTCTGCAACCCGAACGGAACATGACAAACCTTTGCAGTAACAATTTTCACATATTTTACCATATTTTAACAGTTTGTTTGGAGCCTTTGTTTAAGCACGACATCCTACTCAACAACTGTGACACTTGAATGCCTGGAGGCCCCGATGACTATGCTGTGGGCGGATCCGTGTCGGAGGTTCAACGTGGGGATGTCACAACTGTCAGATTCCCCTGGATGGGATACGGACTTAGGGAAAACAAGCCATGTTCGTTTCAAGATGTTTCAAGTATTGAACCCAGGGCAGAAACATGTTCAGTTGTGATAGAATGCATGTTTGATCAGTTTGATCACATCCTGCTTTGTGCACTATCACAAGTTTATCACAAGTACACAACATGATGAAACAGCCACCTTTCAGGGATGGTTCAGTCGCAAAATTACCTCGTCTCCAAACCTTGGAAGGAGATGGAAGGAGTGGGCTCAACCAGTGAACGACTAGGTGTTAGCAAGGTGCAGGACTCGCAGCATGGCAGGCAGATGGCAGCCTGGAATTCGAGCGGTTGCAGCAGGCACGTCGAACGTCTGAGGGGAGATTCAGGAAATGGCGAAACCATGGAGTCGGCGAATTGTTGATGCATGAGATATCATGAGGGCCATGAACCCATGAACCAAAATGAGACGACTGACATGATCATTTGAAACTGTGCCGATACAGCCGCCAGTTGCATGCAATGATCTTTGTGTTGGCATGATTTCTGTCAAATAGCCAAGATATTTGTGACGGAGCGGAGCTCCGGCGGGATCGTCACATTGCGCATTTTGCCGGTGAAGGCGTTGCAGCAAAACCTTCAAGCTTTGCAGGACATCTGTGCATTGATGTTGAAGCCTCCCACTTTTCCTTCGCAGTACAAGTTGAGGCATGTTGAGGCATGTTGAGGCGTGATGAGGCCATATGAGACCAGTTCACTCCAAGGGTTGTTGTTTTGCCCTGACCGAGAGATAGCCTGCGAGAATGCACCAGGCAATATGGTACTGACTTGAACCGTTTTAGACTTAAACTCAAACCTTTTGGGCAGAAGGTGCCTTTTGCCCAAATTCAACAACAAGCTCCGGGTCGCCGTTCCATTTGCAACACAATCTTACAGCAAGCCTAAGTCGAAGGGCTCCTTCTTGCCAGGACCTGCGATCCCGGCTAGCACCCTACCAGGCTCATTTGCAAAGTTGCTGGGGTGATTAGGTTTTTGCCAGTCTCTCTCACTTGGGAAGTTGCAGCTTGAAATCAAGTGACCAAGCCAGCTACGGCCAGCTAAAACATTGGAAATTGGACTCGCTGCATACCTTGCGAAAGCTTCACCATGCTGCACCGCAAGGAGTCTTCTCGCAGCTCTTTGTTTTGGAAGTGGAGCGATGTCGTGGCAGTGGCCACACGCTTTCGTGAAGCTTTGGGATTTCCAGCAAAGGCAGCTGGGGCTGGGGTGTATTGCAATCAGGGCGTAAACGTTTGTGTTCGATGTACTTTGGGTCAAAGGGCTGTGATGAGAGCAATATCGTACAGTATGGCCTTGGCTCCCATGTGGATCATGCGGAGACTGAGACAAGTCCAGCCGTTTCTGGAATCCCTATTTGAGACATGAGAATGGGAACCACGAATACCCAGGAAGTAGCTGGCTTTTACCTGAGACTGGTTTGCAGATTATGGAGAAACTATGCGAGACTTGATACGGAGTAGTATATGTTGGCACACGCTTGAACACAAGGCTGTGGCATGGCCCATGCAGACTCCAGGCAGCCAAAGCAGCTGCATCTGGAACCTTTGGACTTGGTCGTGGCATGGAAGAGGTGGTGGGGGACTCAGCTGCGACCAATGACTTGACACAGTTGGCTTCCAGCTGACTTGGTGGATCTGCCTCACGCTTTCCGCATCATGACATTTTTTCCACACAAAAACGATCCAAAAGGGGCGCGATTCTTGGTGTAGCCTGGTGTAGCAGTAGAACGTAGTAGAACGACATGTTGAAAACGTCCATGCGGCCCATGTGGAAACGTTTCGGATGGTAGATGTTGGCTACAGATTTCATCAGCACTGTGCTCAGTGCCTAAAGAGCCGTCAGGGCTCAAGACTTGGACTAAATAGCACAGCTTTGCTCAGCTCCAAGGACCTTTCGGACAGTCTGGCAGAGCCAGGTGCTCAGCTTGCTCGGTTTGCTCGGTTTGCTCAGTTTGCTCAGTTTGCAGGGTTCAAACCTTTCCTGAACTGATCAACATGTAGTGGTATGTAGTGGTCAGTGGTCATCAAGAGTTGACTGCCATTTGCGAAATGGCAAATGCAGACTGAAAAACTGCAGTTGGTCTTGAAACAAAGCAAAGGGTCCAAGTTGCACAGTAACAGGTAACATTTATTGAGAAAGGACACATATATCAATGTGAAGTGGGACATTTTCTTTCTGTGGAACGCGTGGATGGGTGGAGGTATTCTTCTTGATGCCAGTGAAAATCTTTGATGCTGACTGAAGCTGCACCCCATATCCGGTCCAGGTACACCCACAGGCTCACAGGTGATAATCTGATTGGTCATGGCATACAACATGTTCCACTGCCTGTTGGACAGCCCCTGCCAGGGATTTGATCCTGGTCGCATGTTGCACATGTTGCACTGGTAACAGAGTATTGACAGAGTATTGACAGAGTATATCCCTGAGTATTGGATCAAAGGTTCACCACCATCTTCGGCCTGTTCTTGGCTGCGTTGGTTGGAATGATTGGCTGGAGCCCTGGAGCAAGGGCTGTTCGGCTGTTCGAATATGGTCGGCCCAGCCAAAGAATTGTCATTTTTTCTCAGACTCAGGGATAGACATTACATATCATTACATCATATTCATTCATATTCATTCAATATTCATAAATTATCATAAATTCATAAGTATTGCTGACATCCTATACTGCGATGTTCTCCTAATCTTCTTCCTCCTTCAACCTCCTCATCACGACCTTTTCTCTCTAGGTGACCAATTGTTGAACAGGTTCGTGCCTGATATGCATTGACATTCAGGTAGACGGGAATACACTCTGCCCTTCCCTGGAAGCCAATTGAAAAACTACACCTACTGTGGTTTACATATCTGACCAACAAGTGTCACGAGAGAACCATCTCAGCGGCATCATTCAAGGTTCTGGCGGTGCAGCGCTTGGGCACCAGTGGGGCTGGGCCGTGGACCCAACTCATGCAGCCACAGCGAAGCAAATGGCAGCTGATTGACATTGATTGACACCCATTCACAAATTCAGGATCGTGGCTGAGGATCACCGCACTCTATCCTCGCATCTCAGTTGGTTTTGCATATTCAAGCAGCCTGGTTGCCCAGGCTGCTGGTCTGTTGGCATTCGGCTGCGCTAATTCAGTGCCCCAGGACCGATGAATTGATGAAGCTGGAAAGTTGCTACAGTTGCTACAACCGCTCCAAGTGAGTGTTTGCCACAAAAGCCTTTCTAGGGCTGTGCCTTTGCTTGGAAAGCCTCATTGGCTACAGGGAAATAGACGGAGTGGAAAGGCAGGGCACGAAAACAGAATCTCAATAGGTCTCAATAGATCTCATCCAGACATTCCAATTTAGGTTTTGGGGCACGGGCAGACCATCACCTGATCCAACATTCCAGGTATTGCTGCAGAACTACTCTCGCTTGCACTTGCCACATGTTCGGCGTCGCCTTGAACAGCGCCTGAAGGAACTGTGCGGAGCCCCAAACAAGGCATACTTGGACTTCCTTAATTCCGCAAGTGGTGCTCAATGCAGATTTGTAGCAAGAAAAGCCATGACAGGTATATATTCCTTTGAAGCTTTTATTTGCGACTGATGCCTAAAAAAGGATAGACTAGATATGACTAGATTATTTGGATGACATTATGACATGGAAGGGAGAGCGTTTGATGGACAGTCTTTCGCCCTTTGTTTTTCTGTGTGTTAGCCAACCTTTGTCGGCCTGTGTTCTGGCTCTCTGCATCTAGGTCTCAGCAGAAGGATGCTTTGCTGAAAGACGTTCAGCAAGCTCCAACCTGAGAAACGTGAATGCCAAAGCCGTTCATTATTGTTGTTTCGGCTCTAAGCATCTATACATTGCAAACGGATGTATAGGGTTCCTTCTTTCTGCAGTGAGAGTTTGTTTCACATGCGGAATGCTCGAATCTGGAAGTCATGTCATCTCCGCTGAGGTTCAACGAGCATCGAGAAAGACGGGCATAGTTTAGCTCTCAGCTTTGGGTGGCTGGTAGTAATTTGATGTAATTTGTTCAGTTCCCCATGTTTTGGCGCATGCCAACCCTATGAAAACAGCAAACAATAACTGCAATAGCTGGTGTATGCCCGTGTATGCCAGTTGAAAGGACTCGCGCGGGATGAAATCGAGACTGCGCCGTGCCAGGTCCAGTTGCGCGCGCACATTTTCCTCCAGAGTGTGAACGTGATCCGCAACATGGACTACTTGACACGATGTATCAAGACTGAGGCGGCAGGGACCAGACAAAACTCGGCGCAGATTCACAATTTGGGGTTCTGTTGCGCCATTATTGTGTGCCTACTGTATTACTGTATATATATATATATAGCCACCATCTATCTCCCTATTTAATATTTGTCTGTCCGCCTCTTTGCCTGGCTGCCTGTCTGTCCATCCATCCATCTATCGACCAATCAATCTTTCTATCCATCTATCATCTAACTATCTAATCAAGCCCAGCAAGAGGTAGTTCTCACGTGCTGCTGGAGCTATCCCATGCTAAGCTGCATGCCGCACAAGTGTACAGGTACAGCGCATGTCTTCTGAAAAGGCACGCAAGACTCAGCTGCAGAAACGTCTGGTGGCCAGCGGCTTGCAACTCTTGTGCCCCTGGCAACCGTTGAATTGATGTGGTGGGTGTGGTGTGTGCTGGCTGGCAAATACACCTTTCTTATCCTTTCTTATCTTCCCCGAATTTCTCTTGGATGAGGATGATGAGGCTCATTCAACGCTTGGAAATTTTTAGGTTTTGGAGACAAGGCCAAAATGATCCAAAATGTTTTGGAAAATGTTTTGGAAAATGCTTCTGTTTTGGAAGTCTTCCCCAGGCTTGCACTCTTGCCCCACAGCTCGCCGCAGTGGCAAGAAGAAGCCCTTGGAGGCTGCGCTGGTTCTGACAGTTTCAGACCCTGATCCCTTTTTTTGTATAGATACATCTGGTAATTTAATGGTGATTACTGTAATGGTGATTAATGGTGATTAATGGTGATTAATGTTACCATCATGAATCATCATGATACATCCATTGGAAAGCTTAGTAATTCATCTGAATTCCGCTTCCTGGGCTCACTTTGACCTACCACTTCCAACTTCAACTCCGTGTCTCTAATTCCCTTCGTATAGGGCACTTGGAGTGGGTCCATTCTGTGCTGTTCTTCCCTGACCCATGGCAGGAGAGCAGTGTGCAGAGCTGGCATCGGTGATTTTCTCGCGACGTGCGGTTCAAAGTAACCAGGCGGCCGGGTGAGACAGTGCCAACATTAGCAGTAACGGCAGTAACGGCAGTAATGGCAGTAATGGATCAAGAATGGCCTAGAAATGCCAGGAAGGTGGGCTCTGATTTGAGTTGACAAAAGACATCAAGAGTTGGCGAGCGGGAGTGGTCTGACAATAGTGTGTGAACTGAATTGGAAAATAGTGTAAGTCAGAGCATATTGCAATTGTCTCTCTCAGCTGCTTGTTTGACTTGCATCATCTTGCATGATCTTGCATCATCTTGCGTCCAGCTCACCAATCTTTACCAAGCTTCCTACCATTTCCTCCCCTTCGTGTCTTTGCAGTGTTCACATTCACACTTTGCGTTGGGCGGTTTCAACATGTCTCAACCTGCAGTCGCTGAGTAATGCGTGGAGGCCTCGCAGCTCATATCTTCCAGCTACGCTGATTCCAGGAAGAGGCTTTGGTTGTTTCTTGGCTGCAGAAAAGTCGTTAAGCGGAAGCTGGTTGGGTTGCAGGTGGGGGATGGTGGCATAAACCCATGGGAACCAGAAGAGCACATGAGTTTTGGATAAGTTGAAGTCGTTTCTCTTGATGGCATAGGAGACTCAAGTAACAGGAAAGAGATGGAAAGAGTCTTCGCAAGAAGTGCGCCAACTGGATACAGATGGGACTCGATGGGTCCAGTGTGGCTTTGCTGTTGCAGCTGTTGCATCCTTCTGTGCAAGTGGATTGCACTCTTCCATACTTTTCCACTATCCAACGACGTCATTCATTTTGCTCTTGAAGCATTCTACGCTGACACTCTGAGGCTGTTTCGGATGGTACATCTCAGTTCGGCAATCCCCACAGAGGCATGCAGTGTGGACAGATGAGCTGAAAGACGAATTTAGTCATCACACAATCACACAGCATACAATCATACTCCAGACTGCATGGATGCAATCCCTTTTCCACCAGCCTTCATCTCAACCATGATCCTGCCCAGGTGCAAGGAAAGCTATCTGCCTTAATGGATAGCTACCTGCGGCCTGTTTTGGTACCGCCAGCTATGTTTTTGCATGTTTTTGCGCAACATGCCAACAACTGTAAGACAGGCCTCTGGTGAAAATCTTAAAGTGGCGTGGGCACTTGTGACGTGGCGCTAGGTAGAGCGAAGGCTGCCAACTGGCTACTGCCAAGCCGTGGGCAGAGGACTTCAACCGCAGGCCTTGACGTCGCATGGGTGTTCCACAATGCTGGCCATCATTGTCTGAAGTCTCTTCGTGGGATGACACGTTTCCGTTTCCATACGTTTCCCTGCGAAATGCGACAGGCAATGCTGGAGGATGGCCTTCAAGGCTGGGAAGGGCATGGAAGAGCTACTGTCCGCCTTTTTGTTGTTGTTCATGGCTCTGCCACTGTGCTACATGATGCTACATGCCTGAATGCTAAACTTGGCTACTGCTAGAGGTTTTAAATGGTTTTAACATGTTTTAACTAATTATTTGCAGAATATCTGGTGGGCAGTGGGCTACACAAAACGCCATGTAATGATCATTTGGCGCAAAAATTGACTTCTGATGATGTGCAGTTTGCCGTGTATGCTTAGCATTCTGTTTCAAGGTACAAGGTCGGCAAGACGAGACGAGGTGGGGCAGATGGAAGTCTGGCATTCAGTCTAAATTGAAAGATGAGATTAACAGACTGTGTGTTTGACCAAGAGCTTCAACCCATTTCAACCGATTTGGATTCCAGCTGCAACAGCTTCAGCTTTTGATTCTCTGGCCGTGTGTTTTGTTTTTGGGACTATGTCAAAGACTTCGGTTCACTGACAGTTGAACAACAATTGAGTTGTTGTGATATTCTGAAGATGTTTTTTTCAGGAGAGGCTAAAATCTCCAACTGCCAGAGGCCGGAACATAATATGCTTGCAGGGCACCAGGCGGTGAGAAATGTTTTGTAAGATTGTAAGATAGGTGTTAAGAAGAACTTGTACCCCCTAGTAAGCTAGTAACTGTATTATTTTCTTCAACCCCTGGAGATCCCTGGATTACAAATATTAGTCATAAAATAATATCTGTCAATTATGAAGAATTCTTCGAGTGGATTCGCGGTGATCCTGGATTGGTGAAGTGGATCAAGTCGCGCAGGTCGCAGTGCCAGCGGCAGTGCCAGCGTAGACGAGGAAGCGGAGAGCGAGGTACGAGCCGGAAAAAACGCGAACAAAACATGACATAAACATGACCTAAACATGTAATAACTATATAATACTCATAAATACTCTCAATACATAGATTACATAGATAGTACTGAATACTCTCCGACCGAGATTTTGACAGATTACATCAACAATTGTGCAAGTTTCTTCAGCTGCCATCGTCCTGAAGTGAGAACAAGTTGAATATCTGGGCAAACCGTCCACCATTTTAATTCGTTTTGCACATCTCGTATCTATCCGGAACTTGTGGGCCACGGGCATCCTTGTTGAAATTCTCAGCCTTTCGTGGGTCCAGTAGTTTCCAATACTTGACCAATACTGTATCATCCAATACCATCCAATACCCATAGTTGCTTCCTTTTTGTGGGGATTACGCATCACTCAAATGGTCAACGGCCAAAATGGTGGTTTGACTTGGAGCTCAAGACTAGGGAATGTCATTTTTGGATAGTTATAATATGTTATAATAGTTGTAATTAAATCATATTAAATCATATTAAATCATATTAAATCATATTAAATCATATTAAATCACATTAAATCATATTAAATCATATTAAATCATTAAATCATCATGTGAAATCTGTGAAATCCTCTATGATTTTGGCTTCTCCCCTGGTCCAGGACCACTTCTCCTTCGCCGCTTCGACGGCATCAAAAGTCTCCAACTCCTCGGCGTCGAAAGTCACCAGCGACACGTCCAAAGCGGTGCGGCGGCTCTTCGCGACCCGAGGGGACCTGTTACAGGCGCCTGTGGGGGTTGTCATCCGCATGTCATATATATATAGTGATTGGTTCACAACCAGTAGCCCAAATGCTAAGGATCCACACCCAATCGCAAATGGAAGGCGGCCACACCTTTTCACCACTCAGCTTCTGCTCAATCGGAATCCAAGCCACCAAAGCTTTCCAAATGCCGGCCACGGCAAACGTCTATGGCTCAAGAGGTATTCACCTCCCACTTCCACCCTTCGCTGACCACAGCAGTAATGTCTGCGGCAATATGAACATGGGTTCACATGAGTGCATGACTGGTGACCTGATGGTGGAGCAAGGCAGGAAGTTATTGGAAATTCACACTCCCAAAACATGAAAATTTCAAGAGTTTTTGTTCTTTGTTTCCTGCTGAAGCCATTGCATTCTGTTGCGTGAGGTTGCACGATCCTTCAGGGTTTGGTCCTCGTCATGCAATCGGTAATGGCCTACTGTCAGCACATGTCTGAGAAACGCACATTCCATTATCTTGGTCAATGCATCTGCCACTTGTGCACCACTGTGGACCCATCTCAACGTCACGTTTTCGCTCAAGAGATCCTTTATGGCTCTTGCTTGCAACTGTGTCCGAAACTCTTGGCAACTGGGAGGCGCAGTTCTGGTCACAAGGTCATAGAGGGATTTGCAGTCTGTTACCGCTATAGAGTTGACATCTTCTTTCACTGTGGGTGCAGCATACGTTGGAGGCAACTCCTTCAGGGTTTGCTTGGACTGTTTCCAGTTTATCCATGGATTTTGAAACCAACCCCAGTATAAGCGTAACCATGACAATTGATCCAGTGTGGAATTCAAGGACATCGTTTCGGCTGACAGTGTGCTTACCACTACCTTTTGAATCTTCTTGCATCCCCAACTAATCGGATTAACTGGGCATTGATGATTTTTGGCGATATCTGCATGTGTGATCATGATGATCATTCCTGTATGTGAATCTGGTTGTTTCTTTGAGGAAAATGATGCATCTGAGAAAGCTAGGAACCTGATCTTCTGAAAGTCAATTGGTTGTATTTTGATGGTTATGTCTTTATGTTTCTTGGCATTATGGAGTACTTTGTTGGCTTCGTTCAAAGTGGAAATTGTTGCAGTGTTGATTGAACTTTGGAGATGACTCAATCTGCTTGCCAAGTCTGGTCTGGTGTTCACTGACGCGTACTGCAGGGATCCTATTAAGGCTCGAAGGCTGAGCCGTTCTTCTTCGTTGATCTTTGACTCTGTCATTTCCTTCCGATCGGGCTTGATGTGGATAGGTTCAATTTTGGTGATGTATTTTTCTTGAGATAGTATGATGGTCTTGTTGGGAAGTTGGTTCATTTCGATTCCTGTGAACGTAAAACTTTGGGTCTTTTTGGCTCCGAAAGGAAAAATGGCCTCTAACTTGCTGAGCTGTTCATCAAAGAATGCGTCTCCACCGCACAGTCCATCGTCAACGTGCATTCCAATCACACCGGAAGGCTTGTTGGACCCTTCCTTGTACAAAAGGTAAACGCAAGGATCAAATGGGGATGGAATAAAGGAAAGCTTTCGGAGGACTCGGTCTAGTTCTTTATACCATAGGTATGGTGCATCGATTAGACCATAGGCTGATTTTTCCAACAGACATACCTCCTTTTCCTTCAGATTCATTGCCTTACTGAGCTCAGGGACAGGCTCAATCGCTATGGTTCGGTTTTCTTGGGTCCTACCCTGCAGGAAAGCGGCTTTGATGTCAAAGGATCTGAGGGTCCATTCTAAAGAAGCAATCATTTGAAGGATTAACATCCGTGATTGTCGACTATCCCTTGGAATGGTTTCAAGTTCAGGGTCTAGGTATCCTAGGACAACTAGTCTGGACTTGGCTTTCCGGCTTTTTCCAAGCCTTTGTTGATCCTTTGGGTCCTCTATTGGCTTCCAGACATGTATCCAGCGACACCGCAAGATCTGTTCTGGTGACAGTTGGTCGCGCAAAACTTTGCTGACTGTTCCTGTCTGAAGCCAATTGTTGACTTCACTTAGCTTGGCCTTTTCGAACTCTTCCTTTTCCTCAGGTGATAGTGTGCTCAATTTCACTTCGGTTCTTTGCTTCTTTTGGTTGGTAGCTACACATATGAGATCTTCTATGGGCATATAGCTATCATTTGAAATCACCTCAGGAACATCGAGTTCCATTCGCCATGCATAGTTGGAGTCAGGGGCTCCAGGCATTTCGACGTTAACGTCGGTGCATGTCAGTAGATCACAGATCAGCTCATCATCATCATCTGGAACTGGAGTTTCAATGGCTATATTGGGATTGTTAATCTCGGTTGGTGACTGCTGTACTTCAAGTTCTGGTTCTTGATCTGGTTGAACACTTGAATGGCTGTTGGGTGAAAGATTCTGGTTCTCTCCTTCTGGATTGTCTCCTTCTGGTATTGACTGCATGGTGTCAGGCATTGTTCTTTGTGGACCAGTTATATTGTTATTTGACAGGTTATTGTTCTGGATTATGTCATTGGGAATGTTGGGATTCAGTGTCTCATCACGAGAGCTTTGCATGTGATTTACGAGCCGGCTCATGTGGGTTTGTTCATCCTGATTGGGTGGTACAACATGCGGTATTTCTTGGGCTTCAAGGGCACTTACTGGTCTAACATGCTCGGGAGCTGCTCTGACTAGTGTGCCTCGGTGCAGGCAAAACACTGATGATCTTCCATCTTGCTGAACGACCTTGGCAGGACCATTCCAGCCCTTGGTGGCTTCTCCTGATCTCCAATACATGATCCATTCTCCTGGATTGTAAAAGCCCCTGCTTGGTCTTTCACGCCTCAAAGCTGCACGGCGAAGGGCTGCCTTGTTGTCAGCCTCATGAAATGCTTTTCTGGCACTTTCTCTCATGGCGAGTTGTGTTCGGAATTTGATGCCCCAGGCTGTGTCTTCATTGGCTAGGCTATGCGCTGGCAATGTGTCATCGCTTGTGAGTGAACCTGGAACCTTCAAACCTTTTCCGAACACAAGCACTTCAGGTGCAAAACCATGACGCAAGCTACAGGCATTCTTGGCGGCTGTGCAAACTGTGAGAGCTCTTTGCAGGTCACTGTAATTTTCGATTGGAAAGTCTTCCTGATACTTGTTGAGCATATGTTGGAGAACATCTCCATGTCTCTCAGTCTTTCCCAATTGCCAGTGTGCTTGTGGTGGAATGATTGTAAGTTTTGTGTTGAATTGCCGAAGGAACTGAGCAAACTCAGGATTATTAAACTCCGTCGCAGAATCGGCAACTACCTCATTTGGTGGTCCTGCCCATGACAACCAACCAACGGTTATCTTTTCCATGGCCCATTCAGTGGTTCTGTTGGGGGCAATTGTGGCTGTGTGGTAATTTGTACCGTGATCAATGTAGTGGTAAAAGTGGAATCTCTCTTTGTTCTTGTTATGCCAGGTTATTCCATCAACTGATATTTTGTCCCCAAAGTCAAGTTCTGATTTCAACGTTGCAGGTCTCTGGATTTTGGGAGCTTGATGTTGAATGCATGTTGAACATTTCATGTCCTCAAGTCCTCTGATCAAATGACTGGGATACCCTTGTTGACGGAGCACCTGTGCAAGCACCTGTGGGGATGGATGTCCCAGATTCTTGTGCAAACGGAGTAGAGTCTGTTTCTCATATCCTGATAATGCTTTGAACTTGGGACCCTGATTGGAACCTTCACAATCAATCTGCAAATTGCGTGA